TAAACACACTTATAAGTAATAATAATAATAATGATAAGAAGAAGAATACATTTATTATAACTCAAATCACTAGATCGAGTTGTACATTTAAAAGTGGAGAATTCCTAGCTGGTATTAAACATTTATGCCTGATCTTTATGGATCTCTTCAGTCCTGATTCATCCTTATCTCAGTAGGGATAATACAAAGGAATGTGGCCCTACAAAGCTGATACACATGTAGCTCTCGGACTTATCGACTACAGTGAGTCAAAGCACTACTACATGTAGCGAGAAGAGACAAAGCTAGTGTGCCATATTCATAATAGATATAATGATAAAATATCATACCCCAAATGTTATTGAACAGTCCATGCCTTACCAGTTTTTTGTCTTACAGTTCTTAGGAGATTTGTGCCTTGACTGATGTGTGGCGTTTCTTGGAGGGTGGTGTATTTAAATACAATCATATTAAAATGTATTCAAGATAAAGTTTCTTTGTCACGTATTTGTGTCCCGTATTCCTCATGTTATCAATCCTATTTTACCAGCATTTTTAAAGCCCACCTTTATGTAATAAAATGTAAGTGCCAAACTACTGGTACATGTTTATATGTGCTTAGGCTGAGTGTGCTGAGACCGAGACTGCCGGTTGATGTATAGCTTCGGTGCACAGTTAACCTTCACTGTAGAATTGGTGCTCCATATTGCCGTTTCTTCCCTCTGAGCAGGTAGGAAAAAAATTGTCGTCGGCAATTTTTGTTTCATTTGTTTGTGTTGTTTGTCTTGTTTACTTTGTGTTGTCTCGTCTTGGTGTGAGTGGCGCCCTCATATGTTGGATGATTGGTGTTCTGTTGAGTGGTAAGAAAACGTCACCATGTATTGTCATGGTTGGAACACGCCTAGTACTGTACGCGAATGAGTGGAGGCAGCATTGTTATGTATGTATTTAGTTATTTTATATATGTGTTTTATATGTAATTTCTTTATTGTGATATTTGTATTAAGTTGAAATTTATATTTGTTTATTCAGTTACTTTCATTTGTTTCATTTGTTTCAATTATTTCAGTTCACCGTCATCAGTTTGTGTCAAGACGTGTGTAAATAAATGTTTATACCTCCACCGGAAAATTATGTTTTTGTCTTCGCAACAAAAAGGCAGATCAGTGTCTGTGGTGCACAGGTAGCAGTCACTGTGGAAACTGTGCTGACTGTTACAGTCTCTCTCCAGCGTGAGGGGAGACCAACAGGCCCGTAGCCAGGGGGGTTCAGGGGGTTCAAAAGAACTGCCCCTTTTGTCAGGAAAAGGCCCATTTTGGGTAAAATTTTATCTAGGTACACATAAGTTTCATTGTAAAAGGTCCACTTTGATAGGAAAAAAGACATTATGGGCCATGATCGGCGGCGACCTTATTCTCAGTGCACGGCGAGGAGAGACCATAACATACTGCCTGGCTTCCAGGGTGAAGGTTACCAGCTGGTTGCAGTAAACCCTTATCTCTGATTGCCCCTTCCTCCACAAAATTTATTCAAGTTTCTCAGTGGAAAGAAACAGCTAGGAGTGGACGTAGGAAGGTGTGACTGGAGATGTGCATTTACCACAACCAGGTATTATCTTCTGTGGAAGCCGGGCAGGGTATTGTGGTCTCTCCTTGCCGTGTGGAGAGGCCAAATTGACAGTTGATTGGCAGTGTGTTCAGGATGTTACAGTCTCTCCTTGTCATTCATTCTCTACGGGGCACAGGAAGCCTTCACTGGGAAAGCTGAGAAGGGTGTTTATGTCCTTCTTCGCCAGAGGTCTAGATGACCACTGATTGGTCACCACAATACACAGGTTGGTCCCTGTTTCGAGGCAGTTGTAGGGTTGCGTAAGTTTGATTTTATTTAATAATAATAGTAATAATAATAATGAAACAATTCTGGCAACTAAAGACTGGTGTTGCTTTTTGAAAAAGATCATGATGATGTAACATACCAGCAGAAAAATAACATTCTTTTCTTGGCAGCCCATATGAAGATGTAGTTTGGTGCTTACATTTTATTACATAAAGGAGGGCTTTGGAGCCTGCTGGTAAAATAGGATTGATAACATGAGGAATAGGGGACACGAATATGTGACAAAGCAACTTTATCTGGAATACATTTCAATATGATTGTATTTAAATATACCACCCTCCTTGAAACTCCACACATCAGTCAAGGAACAAATCCCCTAAGAACTGTAGGACAGAAAACTGGTAAGGCATGGACTGTTCAATAACATTTGGGGGATGATATTTTATCATTATATCTATTATGAAAATGGCACCCTAGCTTTGTCTCTTCTCGCTACATGTAGTAGTGCTATTAATACATGTGTAACAGCTTTGTAGAGCCACATTCCTTTGTATTTTCCCAACTGAGATAAGACCAATTCCAGACTGAAGAGATCCATAAAGACCAGGCATAAATGTTTAATATCAGCTAGGAATTCTCCACTTTCAAATGTACAACTCAAGTGATTTGAGTTGTAATAAATATATTCTTCTTCTTATCATTATTATTATTATTACTTATAAGTGTGTTTAATATTTGTGGTAGATGTAATTAGGTGTAAAAGAGAACCCTGATTATTTCTTTTAAAAATGGACTTAATTATAGTTCATTTTCATACTAGTTGTTAATATTTTTAGTTCTGTTGATTCCCTTGTTTTAGAAATCTTGGCAAGTCAGTCTTTAAAATAATGGCATCCATTAAGCTGATAAGTCTGCTCCTACTGGTTGCTGTTCTTGCTGTTGATTCTTCAAGTATTTTGAAGGTAGGTCCAGAAAAGTGTTCACTGGTTTAGTGAAACAAGCTAAGACAGCATTGTGAGGCAGGCAGTATATGGTTCTTGAGTCCAGGGAGTTGGGGTGGAATTTTCTGCTGGTCTGTAACCTTTTAGTGTGTTTCACTTCATTGAATAAGATCATTTTTTCTTGGATGGTACATGTAACTCAACATGTTTATAAACAAAACAAGAAAACAATTTTTCATAATACCAATATTTATTTGGCATAATCAATGAAATTTCTAAGAAAAATAATACATCTGTTCAAAACAATTACACCATCTAGCTCATACTGTATGTCCATTTTAAACCCAATTCAAAAATAGTTTTCAAATATTTAAACAAAATACATGCAAGAAAATGTCATATCCTAAACAAATAATTAATACACCTGCAAAATATGATATATAAATCATAGCCAGAGATCAACTCTTAATGTGATAGACTGCAGACATGGATGGCCAATAAAAGATAATTTCTTCATATTTTAGAACACCAACCGAAACTTTAGTTCCTACTGGGTTACCAAGTACAAAGCATTCTTTGATATCATTGACATTGATGAAGATGGAATCGTTACTGAAGAGGAACTTGTTGGTTCAACAACAAAACGAGCTCAAAAAGTTCTGTCGTCTTGGAGAGCTATGGCCGTGAATGGTATGTTTTACAATGCCTTTCGGGTCTGGTGGTCAAACAAATACACAAACTATAAAACAAACATTACATTGGAAGAATTTCTTCAAGAGTCTGAGATATATATTCCTATTTCAACAGAGGAGGTCGCTGAAATCTCATCAAATATGTTTGGCACATTTGATATTGACTGCAATGGCAAATTGACAGTAGATGAGTATTCTAAATTCCTTTTTGTTTTTCGCAACACAGCTAAGATTCAACCAATTTTTGATGCTATTGATCAGAATGCAAATGGCTTCCTTGATGCAGAGGAATTTGTGAGTGCATGGGACCTCTATTGGTACCATCAAAGTTTCAGCACCACTGATATCATTTTTGGTAGCCGTGCCTAATGATGCTGGCAATGACTAAAAGTAGCATTTTACTGATTGCTGCTTTGCTGTTTCTTCTTCCCATCTGACTGCATTTTAGTCATGTGGTGCTTGAGATACCCATTAGCCACCATGTTACATAATGGCAGTTCCAAAGACAAATTTCACAAAATATCACACACTAACTTGTTTTCCATGTTTCTTCTTGAATTGTGTCATGGTAAAGATAGAGAGGTATTTATTGTTTATCTTTTATTATTATCTTAACTCTTTGCAGCTGCTAGTGTATATCATATGTGGAATAAAACAAATCCTCCTGTTTGATATGTGATTCTCTCAAAATAGGAATAACACACATATTGTTTTTTTGCGGAGAGACAATGGAGTGGACAGAAAAAGGGTCAACTGTCCATCAATGTCCATGGCACATAGGCAACTTTCACCGCTGAAGCTGTACTAGGTGTAACAGTTCCTCTTCGCCATGCGCTGAGTCTGAGACTGAGACAACCTCTGATCAGTGTCTGCAGTGCCTTCACGGAAAAAGCTGTGCTCAATATTAATCATGGCCTCCCCTCGCCATCGCAGAGACCGAAAAGACCGCAGATCAATATCTATGATTAAATCAACCGAAAACCAGTGTCCTTTTAAACAAAAATAAAAACTTGGCAACCAGAACAAACATGTAGCTTCATTTTACAAAAACCATTCTGGCAACCAGAAACTAGTACCATTTTACAAAATCAATTCTGACACTGAGAAACTTGACACTGGTTTTCTTGTTACCAGGTTTGTTTTTTTAAAAGGACACTAGTTTCCAGTTGCCAGGTTCATTTTTTAAGTTTCTGGGTGCCAGGTTTGTTTTTGAAGAACAAAACTGGAAACTATACATTAGACACTAACTTCAGTGCTCCACGAACAAAATTTGTATATATTACATGTATGATGAATTTTTTTATCATTTTAAAATTTTTTTATCTAATCATTTTTGTTTTTATTTTTTTATATATAGATTATGATCCTGATACATTTCTTAAGATTGCATGATGTTTTTATGTTTGGAATTTTGCTGTACTGGTAGTATATAAGGGTACTATTAAGTATTACTTTGTATTTTGGCTTTTTAAGCAAATTTATTTTGAAGTATAGTATCACACGTTATTTACTTTAAAAGAATGAAAATGAGATATGCTTATTTTACATAAAGGCTTTAACGGGACCCTCTGTGACCATAACATAGATGACTGTGCTGTGAACCCCTGCATCAATGCTGTACAGTGTATAGATGGCACTAATGACTTCCTGTGCATCTGCTCACCAGGATGGGCTGGAAAGACGTGTCACATTAATGTTGATGAATGTGTCAGCCTCCCCTGTCATAATGGCGGAACATGCCATGATCTGGTCAATGAATACAGGTAAGGTGTTACTACTCTAAGGACATATTCTTAAGATTTCAGTGCAGAAGAAATTTAAGGTATATAAGAAAAACCTTTTAAGATGATAGAAAGATACAGTATATATAAGCAGTCTTTGAATATAAGAAATGTGAAGATTTATATCTTATGCTTAATGTTAAGAATACAAAATGAATGTTAGGGAAAGCAGAATGTACACGGCCCTTGCAGAATACATGATTATTATCAATATTTAATATCACAATATCATTTCATTGTTGTTGTCTATTATATCTGAAAATAATTTATATCAATATTCATTGATCAAAACAAGTGTGAACAATAATTAACAATTACTGTTCCATCTGTTCAGGGTGGACATTTTCAGCCACATTATAATTCTTAATTCATAATAATGTTCTTCCAATGTATTTGAGGACAGATGTTCTTGTCTTCCTGGCTACTCTGGCTCTGAGTGTGAAGAGAATATTAATGAGTGTTCCAGCAGTCCTTGTCAGAACAATGGCACCTGTCTGGATAGAGTGAACAGCTACACCTGTATCTGCCCTCCAGGTATATATTCTTGTACAGACACACTCTTACTTGGTGGGCTTGATTAGCATGATATGTGACAATTGCCATTACATTTTTCATTTATTTACCTCAAAGCTAAACTTAATCTTTAGTTTTAAAGAATTAAAATGATAAACTTCTAATCAGTGCTACTGGTCTGCTCTGGGTACCCCCTGGAAGCTCAACACAATCATCTTGTCATTGATCTGGTTTCAGGATTCAGTGGTACTGTTTGTGAACACGACATAGATGAGTGTGCATCCCAGCCATGCATGTACGATGGCACATGCACAGATCTGACAGACAACTACATGTGCATGTGCACACCAGGCTACATGGGCAGAAACTGCGAACATGATATCAATGAATGCCTTAGTGGGCCGTGTCATAACAATGGTAGCTGTGTTGACATGGTGGATGGCTACTCCTGTCTCTGTCAGTCAGGGTATACTGATGTCCACTGCACTACTAATATNATTAAATACAGTAATGGTGTGGGTTAAAATTCTTCTACTACTCTCTGAATACCTCTTCATCAAAATAATATAAAAAGTTTTCCAGTTTTGCAAAGTTCATATCACTGCATTTCTTGTTTTGGAATTGTACCCCTTTTCGTGGAATGGCCGTGTACAGCTTCAGCGGTGAAAGCTGCCTGTGTTCCAAAGACATTGATGGACAGTTGACCCTTTTTCTCTCCGCAAAAACAAATTTGAAGATGGGCGTTATTCCTATATTGAGAGAAACACATATCAAACAGAAGGATTTGTTTTATTCCACATATGATGTACACAGCTGCAGAGTAAAGACAATAATAAAAAACAATGAATATAGCTCTCTATCTTTACTGTGACACAATTTGAGGAAAAACATGGAAATCAAGTTGGTGTGTGATATTTTGTGAAATTTATCTTTGTAAGGAATCACCATTGTATAACATGGTAGCCAATCTCAAGCACCACATTTCTAAAATGCAGTCAGATGGGAAGAAGAAACAGTAAAGCAGCAATCAGTAACATGCTACCTTTAGTCATTGCAAACATCACTATAGTCATGGCTGCCTAAAATGATATCAGTGGTGCTGAACTTTTGATGGTACCAATAGAGGTCCCATGCACTAATAAATTCCTCTGCATCAAGGACACCATTTGCATTCTGATCAATTGCATCAAAAATTGGTTGAATCTCAGCTGTGTTGCGGTGAACAAACAGGAATTTGGAATACTCATCTACTGTCAACTTGCCATTGCAGTCAATATCAAACGTGCCAAACATATCTGATGAGATTTCAGCAATCTCCTCTGTTGAAATAGGAATGACTATCTCAGACTCTTGAAGAAATTCTTCCAGTGTAATGTTTGTTTTATAGTTTGTGTATTTATTTGACCACCAGACACGAAAGCCATTGGAAAAAATACCATTCACCGCCATAGCTCTCCAAGAAGGCAAAACTTTTTGAGCTCGTTTTGTTGTTAAACCAACATATTCTTCTTCAGTAACGATGCCATCTTCATCAACATCAATGATTTCAAAGAATGCTTTGTACTTGGTAACCCAGTAGGAACTAAACTTTCGGTTGGTGTTCTAAAATATGAAGAAATGATCTTTTATTGGCCAGCCATGCATGTCTTTCACATTAAGAGTTGGTCTCTGGCTATGATTTGTATATCATATTTTGTAGGTGTATTATTCATTTTAGATATGACATTTTCTTGTATGCATTTTGTTTAAATATTTGATAACTATTTTTGAATAAGGTTTAAAATGGACATGCAGTATGAGATGCTGTAATTGTTTTGAACAGATGTATTATTTTTCTTAGAAATGACATTGATTAAGCCAAATTAATATTGGTTTTATGAAAAATTGGTTTCTTGTTTTGTTCATAAACATGTTGAGTTACCATCCAAGAAAAAATTCTCTTATTCAATGAAATGATACACACTAAAAGGTTACAGACCAGCAGAAAATTCCACCACAACTCCCTGTACTTAAGAACCATACTGCCTGCCTGACAATGCTGTCTTAGCTTGTTTCACTAAACCAGTGAACACTTTTCTGGACCTACCTTCAAAATACTTGAAGAATCAACAGCAAGAACAGCAACCAGTAGGAGCAGACTTATCAGCTTAATGGATACCATTATTTTAAAGTCTGACTTGCCAAGATTTCTAAAACAAGGGAATCAACAGAAACAAAAAGTAAACAACCAGTATTAGATATAAACCAATTAAGTCCATTTTTAAAGAGATAATCAGGGTTATAAGGGTTATTTGTAAGTAATAATAATAATGATAAGAAGAAGAATACTCAAATAACTATAGAGTGTTCATTTAAAACTGGAGAATTCCTAGCTGATATTAAAAATATATGCCTGGTCTTTATGGATCTCTTCTGTCCAGAATCGTTCTTATCTCAGTTGGGAAAATACAAAGCAATGTGGCTCTACAAAGCTGTTACACATGTATTAATAGCACTACTACTACATGTAGCACGAAGGGACAAAGCTAGGGTACGTGCCATTTTCATAATAGATATAATGATAAAATATCCCCCAAATGTTATTGAACAGTCCATGCCTTACCAGTTTTCTGTCCTACAGTTCTTAGATTTGTGCCTTGACTGATGTGTGGCGTTTCTCGGAGGGTGGTGTATTTAAATACAATCATATTGAAATGTATTCCAGATAAAGTTTCCCATGTCACGTATTCTTGTCCCCTATTCCTTATGTTATCAATCCTATTTTACCTGCAGGTTTCAAAGCCCACCTTTATCTAAGAAAATGTAAGTGCCAAACTACATCTTCATATGGGCTGCCAAGAAAAGAATGTTATACTGCTATCATTTTTCTGCTGGTATGTTACATCATCATAATCTTTCTCAAAAAGCAACACTAGTCTTCAGTTGCCAGAATTGTTTTATTGTTGTTATTATTATTATTATTATTAAATTAAATCAAACTTACGCAACATCATAACAACCAAGAAACACCCAGGGACCAACCTGTGTACTGTGGTGACCAATCAATGGTCATTTAGACCTCCCTGCATGACGAGGAAAGGCTGTAACACCCTTCCCGGCTTTTGCAGTGAAGGCTTCCTGTACCCCGTAGAGAACAAACAACAAGGAGAGACTGTAACATCCTAAACACACTGCCAATCAACAGTCAACTCAGCCTCGATCTCCACACGGCAAGGAGAGACCACAACACTTTGCCCGGCTTCCACAGAAGATAATACCTGGTGGCAGTAAATGTAAATCTCCAATCTCCCCTTCCTCGGTCCACTCCTAGCTGTTTCTTTCACAAAAACGATTCTGGTTTCTCAAAATCATTTTTGACAAATGACACTCATTTCATGTTACCAGGTTTGTTTTTGAAAAAGGACACTTGTTTCTGGTTGCCAGAATTGTTTTTGGAAAACAAAGCTAGTTTCCAGTTGCCAGGTTCGTTTTTAAAAATGTCACTAATTTCTGGTTGCCAGGTATGTTTTTGAAAAACAAAACTGGAAACTGTACATTAGACACTATAGCTTCAGTGCTCCACCAACAAAATTAGCATAGATTACACTTATGATGAATTTTTTATCATTTTAAAATTTTATATCTAATCATTTTTGTTTGTTTGTTTTTTGTTTTCTTTTTATATAGATTATTATGATCCTGATACATTTCTTAAGATTGCATGATGTTAAATGTTTGGAATTTTGCTGTACTAGTAGTATATAAGGGTACTATTAAGTATTACTCTGTATTTTGGCTTTTTAAGCAAATTTATTTTGAAGTATAGTATCACACGTTGTTTACTTTAAAAGAATGAAGATGAGATATGCTTATTTTACATAAAGGCTTTAACGGGACCCTCTGTGACCATAACATAGATGACTGTGCTGTGAACCCCTGCATCAATGCTGTACAGTGTATAGATGGCACTAATGACTTCCTGTGCATCTGCTCACCAGGATGGGCCGGAAAGATGTGTCACATTAATGTTGATGAATGTGTCAGCCTCCCCTGTCATAATGGCGGAACATGTCATGATCTGGTCAATGAATACAGGTAAGGTGTTACCATCATCATTCTAAGGACATCTTATATGTATGCAGTCATTGAATATTAAAAATGATATTCTGAAGAAGATAATGTAGGAAAGAAAACCATTTTTAAATGATAAGTTACAGTTTATATATACAGTTTTTGAATATAAGAAATATGAAGATAAATATCTTCTGCTTAATGTTGTAGATAGTACACAACTCAAAACAGAATGTATGTTGCTCTTGCGAAATGCATGATTATTTTCAAAGATTAATATCTCATAATCAATTTAGTGTTGTTTCCTATTATATCTGGTAATTCATATTAATATTCATTGATGAGATTAGCTGTAAACAATAATGAACATTAACTGCTCCAGCTGTTCAGGGTGGATATTTTCAGCCACTTTATAATTCTTAATTCATAATAATGTTCTTCTAATGTATTTGAGGACAGATGTTCCTGTCTTGCTGGCTACTCTGGCTCTGAGTGTGAAGAGAATATTAATGAGTGTTCCAGCAGTCCTTGCCTGAACAATGGCACCTGTCTGGATAGAGTGAACAGCTACACCTGTATCTGCCCTCCAGGTATATATTCTTGTACAGACACACTCTTACTTGGTGGGCTTGATTAGCATGATATGTGACAATTGCCATTACATTTTTCATTTATTTACCTCAAAGCTAAACTTATTCTTTAGTTTTAAAGAATTAAAATGATAAACTTCTAATCAGTGCTACTGGTCTGCTCTGGGTACTCCCTGGAAGCTTAACACAATCATCTTGCCATTGATCTGGTTTCAGGATTCAGTGGTTCTCTGTGTGAACACGACATAGATGAGTGTGCATCCCAGCCATGTATGTACGATGGCACATGCACAGATCTGACAGACAACTACATGTGCATGTGCACACCAGGCTACATGGGCAGAAACTGCGAACATGATATCAACGAATGCCTGAGTGGGCCGTGTCATAACAATGGTAGCTGTGTTGACATGGTGGATGGCTACTCCTGTCTCTGTCAGTCAGGGTATACTGATGTCCACTGCACTACTAATGTTGATGAGTGTCACAGTAACCCTTGTTTAAATGATGGTAGGTGAAGAAAAATATGTAACTTTTAATAAACTGCCAATTAGTAATTATGTAGTTGCATGTTTATATATAGAGTACTTTAATTATTCTCTTCAGCAAAGATGTACTATAAGTATTCTCCTTTCATTATATATTTTTGTATCTTTCCTAAAGATCTTTTTTCTGAAATTTAATCTTATTTAATAACACACTCTAAATTTGACAAAACTGGTAATAAGATTGTGTTTTAACCTTTGGATACTAGTACATGTATCTGAATCCTAAGATATACTTTGATCATTCTATTTTATAATCAGTTCAGTTTAACTTGTGATTACTTAATATTACAAAATCTGTCTTTAACAAAAAGCTTCCTGCGTTGATGGTGTGGCTGGTTACAGTTGCCTGTGCAGACCTGGATTCTCAGGAATCCTTTGTGAACAAAATATAGACGAATGTCAATCATNGTGGATATTAATGAATGTCTCAGTCAACCCTGTCTCTATGGTGGGACCTGTCATGACCTGGTAAATGGTCATCAGTGTCTGTGTCTGCAGGGATATACTGGAGAGATGTGTCAGGTGGGCTTCCTGTACTTAAAGATAATTTGTGCTTTATAAATCATGGTTTTAAGCCAAAGTAGGTTTACATTTCAAGTTTTTAAGGGAATGATGGATACGTAAATTATATACCTTGAAAATGTTACAGGTCAGCTAGGAAGAAAAGTTCTGATTAGTTTAAACTTGAGGTGGAAATGGATCAGTTATTCCCCTTTTTCGAGTGCTTGCATGGTGATTAAAAGAGAATGATGTAGTGTTTAATTGATGTCTGTTTTAAAGAGTGCTTCACTTTAAAATGTGTTTAAATTGTGATAATTCCATAAGCTTTAATTGATATTAAATTTTAGATTTCTATTACTCATTATCATGTTTAATTTGTTTTCACATTTAATCCAGACCAACATCAATGAGTGTGACAGTCACCCATGCACTAACAACGGCAGCTGTGTAGACCAGGTCAATGGCTTCCTTTGTCTCTGCGTAAATGGCTTCACAGGGAACACGTGTGCAGTCAATATAGATGAGTGTGTGTCAAGTCCTTGTGAACACGGAGGCACATGTGCAGATGATATTGCGGGGTACCACTGCACATGCACGCATGGCTACACAGGACCAACATGCAGAGTTGATGTTGACGAGTGTGTGTCTTCGCCGTGTGAAAATGGCGGAAGCTGTGTTGATGGAATTGGGGAGTTCTGGTGTAACTGTACTGCAGGTATATGATTTTGAATATTAAGTTAAGAGAGTAGGGGTCAGTAAGTAACAATCATTTGTAACTACTTTTTAACTAAACATACTTGCATGTCTAGTAATTGTCTGGCAAGTGCAGATCCAGTTCATGTTTCAGAAAATTGAACAGACTGGATGCAAAAGTTCCATATAAAGATATAATTATTCTAGTGAAGTTTGAAAAACAGCAAAGTCAATATTTTCTGCTCATTTGTCAAAACCATCATATTTATCTTTGCATTCTGAAAAGTTAATTACTTACTTACTTATCCCTACCTTCCCTGTTGGGAAATATGGCCACAAAAAGTTAATTGCCATGTGCACGCACTCCAGCACTGTACATGGAGAACTTAAATGAACTCATTATCTTAAATGAAATAATTTCAGGATTTTCTGGAAGATATTGTGAGCAGAATGTGAATGAGTGTGCCAGCTCTCCGTGTGATAACGGGGCTACATGTGTGGACTTGGTGAATGGGTACAACTGCAGCTGTAGGGAGGGGTTTACGGGTATATAATTATATATAGTCTCAAAGTTTTTTTTTTTTCAATAATATGAATACAACTTAAAATATCAAATGTACTAGCATATTTAAAATATAGTAAATATTTCTTTGTGGTTGAATACAGACAATAATGAGCAGCTATAGGTGTTGGTACTGTTAGAACTATGGGTACATTATTTGAGTTATGTTAACAGTACACCTGTAGGATTACAAAGTACACCTGACATATTATGGATCCAAGTCTGTCTCAAAAGTTCTTCACAATCTCAAAGAATACATTAATTGGCAGGTGTCCGCTGTGAGATCAATATTGATGACTGCAGTCCATCTCAATGTCAGAATAATGGGACATGTCAAGATGGCGTAGCAGACTTCCAGTGTATCTGCCCACTTGGATACCATGGCAAGACATGTGCAAACAACACCAACGACTGCGTGCCTTGGCCATGCATCAACAACGCTACCTGCTACGACCTGGTCCAGGATTACCAGTGTGTGTGTGTGGAAGGTTTCACTGGTAAAGACTGTGAAGAGAATATCAATGAGTGTGAAAGCAATCCTTGTCAGTCTGCAGGGACTTGTCTTGATGGTGTGGCAGGGTACCGCTGTGTTTGTGTTGATGGTAGGTATAATATTACAATGTGATTGGAGTAATCTTTTATAGTAGAGGGCTATGATATACTTTAAGATTACAGTTGAACTTTTAACAGGTTTCAACAGCCAGGAGCTATAGGCACCAGGAATGATACAGTGTATATAAGGGACCATTCCCAAAGACACATCTGACTAGGTGTGTAATTGGCTTAACTGATTGACACCCCTCCACAAGAAGCTATAAGGGGGTAATTGCTACAATGGGGCATCTCATCACATGTCATGGTATACATTTCATGGTTTCAGGCTACACTGGACCACACTGTGAAGTTAACATCAATGAATGTTCCTCCAGTCCCTGCTACCACAATGGAACTTGTCATGACCTGGTGAACGGCTTCCACTGCGCCTGTGCCCCAGGGTATGCTGGGAAGACCTGTAGTGTTGATATAGACGAGTGCGTTTCTTCTCCCTGTCAACATGACAGCAGTTGTGTGGATATTGTGGATGGATACAGGTAAGATGATATGATATGACAATTTTAATGTCTGTTTTTTAGAATTTTTATGTCCTATAAGTTATCTTAATCATGCAAAAGTTTATGGCATGCAAACAGAATGATTTTGAATTGTCAGAAATACAACTGGATATTTTTATTACTAATATAAAAATTAAATTTGAAGGACAGGCTGATTTTAAGGAATTTCACTAAATCTCAGGTACTTCTATTTCTGTAGAATGAATTTTATTTTTTTTCCCTGGCAGCCGAGAGCTGGATTTATAGTTTATATGAATTATATCTTTTATTATATTTTCTACAATACTCTAGATGCCTGTGTTCTGCTGGGTTCACAGGAACAAACTGTGAACAAAACATTGATGATTGTGAAAACCTGCCATGCCATAATAACGGCACATGTATAGACCTGGTTGATGATTTCAACTGTTCATGTGCTGCTGGCTACACTGGGGACAACTGTGAAGTAGACATCGATGAGTGTGAGGAGAATCCATGTGTAGAGGGCAGCACTTGCATGGACGCTGTGGCTGGTTACTCTTGTGTCTGCCTGCCAGGTATGTAGATGGCAGCACCTGTAGGGATGCTGTGGTTGGTTACTCTTGTGTCTGTCTGCCAGGTATAGAAAGCTGAATGCAATATTATTTGGGTGCTTGCCAAATAGGCACACTTTTTGTCATGTTGATATCACATTGACAATGACATTTTAATGTTGAAAACACCATATGATGAATAGTGATGATTGCTTATTAGTGTTAGTAGTTACTGTAATGCTAAGGATGCCACTTATTATGATTAATTCCTTATTATCAACAGCTGAACCAATAGAAGAATAGTGAATAATTTTAAAAAGCAAATAATAAAAGATAAAAAAATATCAGAAATATATGACATTGTTTAAGTCTCATATGCATGTATCAGCTCACAGTGCATACATATGAAATAAAAATGTCACAATACATATAAGTCTGCCTTCAGCCACACTTATACTGATCTTTTAAACAGATATTTTACATTAACCATAGATCTCATTATTGGTGATAATGAGCACCAGACAGCCCATTGTATTCATATTTTAGGTTACATTGGCCAAAACTGCAGTCTGAACATAGACGAGTGCCAGAGTGCCCCATGTCACGGCAACTCCACCTGTGAGGACGCAGTGAATGGGTACACCTGTCATTGTACCCTGGGGATGACTGGGCCACTCTGTGAGGTGGATATTGATGACTGTCAGGGAGAACCGTGTGGTAATCAGGGTACCTGTGTGGACATGTTGAATGGGTTCAGGTAAAAATGTTTGCATGGTCATTTTTGTTTTAATTTTGTTAAAGTCACATGATAAGTGTTACTTTTAGTCACTCTCATAATGTACAAGAAGACTGGCAAATATCATTTGTGACTATGAAAAGTCCTAGATTGCACATTTCTAAATGATAATGGATAAAGTATACATTGGTGATAAATCTTAGAAAACTGCAGATTTTTTTATGTCAAAGAAGAGAGTTGAAGAAGTGTTTTTTGCAGTATGAAGGTCTATGTAGTGGGTGTGATATATATTTTTAGGCAATAATGCCCTATCTTCGTTAAGTCAAAAGGAAAAATTTTAATGTATTTTTCACATCATTCTGGTTTCCCAACCTAAATTTATTAAATAAAATGCCATCATTAATTGAATTTTAATCTCTTACTGCTACATATACATGTAATAATTTGAAAGGTGTTTTAGCTAGGGCACATGGCAGTATGAATAATATGAAAATGGCTTTTAAAAAATATTTAAATCAATTCAAAATTATAAGTGTTTACTCTGAGTGATTTGAAAAATATTGCTCAGCTACATATGGTCATAAATAGTTTAATAATTTCATGAATTTGCAAAAACATCAAGTTTATCTTCTATTATGATCTCCAGATGTGAATGTACAGCAGGGTATGGCGGAGACGATTGTCAGACAAATCTAGATGACTGTGGAGAGAATCCTTGTGCTGAGAACAGCACATGTCTGGACAGAATCAACGACTACATGTGCATGTGTGCACCAGGGTTCACAGGGAAGAACTGTCAAGTCAACATTGATGAGTGTGCGTCTGATCCTTGTATGTATGGCGGGCATTGTGTGGATGGCGTCAATGGATATATGTGTCTCTGCAGTACTGGATACACTGGTAAGAAAACCTTTTTTTATCTTTTTTTCTTGAGATTGTTAATTGTAGGCCCTTTTCTTTATTTAAGCTGTTTTTCAAGATCAAATACTTGTATGGTATGAGACAATCTTTTGAAGCTTTACAAAGGAAACCATGTACAAGAATTAATTGAGTTTTGTAAGTTGATGGTTTGACAACCCTGACATTTTGAAATTGTTTTTTCTTTTTCATCTGAGGCTTTTGTATCTGTGGTCTTCATTTCAGGTGTTGGATGTGAAGAGATAATAGACTACTGTATTTCCCAGCCATGTCGGAACAATGCTAGTTGTATTCCTTTGATATCTGCATTCAGGTGTCAGTGTCTATCAGGTATTTATGTCAGCTGTCTTTTTACCCCTCTCTCTGGCAGTGGAGATAGGCAGGGGCAGATTGTGGCCAACTTCTTGGTCTTCTGGGAGACGGTCAGATTTTCAAGTTTACATTGACGAGTATCTAATTTTTTCTGTTGGAAGACAATCAAAATTGGAAGATGGATCAACAAAGATTATTTCTGTCAGAAAATATCTCTGGATCCCTTCCTGATAGGAGTGGGTGAACTGGGACGTTGAACTCATCAAACAACAGTTATGGTTTCATGCAATCCTAGACTGGGGGGGTCATTTAGTGATTTTTTTGAAAATTTTATATTATTAGAAGGGTACTAATACTTAATAGAAAAGGGAATTAATGGTATTTTCTACCTCTTACTATTTTGGGGCTAAACTTCCAATAAGTTTTTCTTTTTTTAGGTGATTTTTTTTAAATCACACTTTTTACAGAAAATTTTTATCGAAGTTAATATTAGATATGTAAGTTCTCTTATAACTTCCTTTTATGGTTACATCTAGGTTCCAGATTTTTATTTTCTTTTTAAAGTTTTTTAGCAAAACTTTCAATAATTTATGCGTGTGAAAATGGGAGATAATCTATAAGAGTTTTTCAAATACTTGCATGGCTTCAAAATTATGTTTCTCATGCATAATTCAGTATGAAATTGTATAATGAGGAGTTATTTCTGGTCTTTTTATATCACAGGCTACACGGGGGACTACTGTGAGGAAAATATCAACTTCTGTGCACAGAATGAATGTGGCATCAACAACACCTGCATAGATGGCGCTGGTGGTTATCAGTGTATTTGTGTTGAAGGAAGGACAGGGCGTCACTGCCAGGAAAGGGTCAACCAGTGCACCAGTAGTCCCTGTCTGAATGAGGCTCAGTGTGTGGAAGAGGAGGATGACTTCAGGTGTATGTGCAGGTAATATACATGTAGGGGTTGATTAGTGTGTTATTTAAGAATGGTGCTCATGTTTTTAAAAAGATAATTGATGAAAGTAGCTGACTGAAATATTAAAACAACAAAACAGGTAATGACAATTGGTGGAATGCAAATGAGGAAGATTAAAAGAAATTGAATTATACAAGATCAGTCACTTTTCAAATCAAACTCTTTTGTTCTGGTCCGATCTCACTGTTTTCTTGAGCCAAAGTTTGAACATCAATGACTTCCTTACTTTGATTTTAGTCTCTTTAGACAAATGATCATGAAAACAGGTGTAAGCAATTAATTGTCTGGTAAAAGAAAGGTTTTTAAAATAGCTTGTATTTTTATGCATTTCATATACAAAAGAAATGCAGCAACTGAAAAGTAATATATTTGCAATTTGTTTCAGCAGGCACACATACATGCACACACACGCACACATACACAAACCAACTTGCACAAGAAACTTCCCTTTTCAGGTAATACAACTTTGTTTTGTGAAACATTTTTTTCAAGTTTATGTAATTTTATCATGCAATTCTGTATATTCAGGCCAGGCTATACAGGAGGCCAGTGTGAGGTGAACATAGACGATTGCCTCAGTTCTCCCTGTGTGAACAATGCTACCTGTGTGGATGGCCTCCATAGGTACTCCTGTGTCTGTCCTCAGGTAAAAGAAACAGCCAGTCTACTGGGTATATCATGTCAAGGTTTTAATTCTGGCTTTCTTAAATCTGGGTTCAATTACCAGGTTTAAATCTGGTTTAAATCCATATTCACATACCTTAAAACTGGTTTTAACCTGGTTTAAACTTGGTATATCTTGGTTTATATATATCTTAAATCTATGTTTAAGTCCACATATCACATATCTGTTTTTTCAATTTGTGCGTTTTATATTTAGGGATCTAAAGCTACTGTTATTATTTTTAAATTTTTTACAGGGCTTCCTGGGCATCCATTGTGAAGAAGACCTGGATGAGTGTCAGTCACATCCTTGTCACCACAATGGTTCTTGTGAAGATGGTTTGAATGGTTTCACCTGTCACTGCCCAGTTAACTATACAGGGTGGACATGTTTACATGTAATAGACCCGTGTTCTAGTTCTCCCTGTTATAACGGGGCTGACTGTGTTCCAGCAGGACTGGAGTATAGATGTAGATGTCTGCCAGGTAATACTGTATTGATTGAAGTTATTTGGACCAGAAATATTATTTTATTGTGACCTATTAATTTTTAATTTTAATGTTTTTTTAATGTTTTAAGCGTAAATGTTTTCCATGATATTGATAAATCAAAATGTGATAAATAGATAAACATATTGTATACAATGTTTTACAACACTTACTATCAATTTTGTAAAAATCTGATGACCATATATGTCCTATATGTCCACACTATCTTTTTAAGTTAATAAAAAGGTTAATATGAAAGATCTCATAGTTGCTTCTGCATATTTGACCTGAAGATGAAAATACTTGATTTTAAAGGTTACACAGGCAGCAGATGTGAGGTAGATGTAGACGAGTGTCAGTCAAACCCCTGTTATCATGGAGGTACATGTGTGGACCAGGTGAACAGCTTCTGGTGCAGGTGTGCTGACAACTTTACTGGGGACACCTGTAGGTCAGGTAGGTATGATTGTAATAGTAATGAATTAAAAGACTTAGTATTGGTCTTTGAAAAAAAATGTAATTTAAAATTTCATAGAAGTCTTCAACAGTTTTCTTGTATTTATCTGCCATGATAATGTCTGCGATATCTAGTACAGACTCAATTTAAGGTGCAATTTGAATTCCTTTTGGGAGCATAAATTAAATCATCTAAAAGGTCTTTTACTTTTAGGTGAAAAGTATCTTTTTAGAAAACTACATGTTTTCCTGTTCTTTAAAGCAGTATGCAAACTTTCAGATTTTTATTAAATTAGGTAGCAACCTAGCAATTAATCTGTCATCTGATACTTAATGTTGATATCTTGAATGCTATGTTATCAGCTGTGGACCCTTGTTTGAATGTGACATATGATGAAGATGGTAATCCAAGGTTAGTTTCCAGTTCAATATGTGGTCTCCATGGCAACTGTATCTCTCCAGATGGGCAAGTTGCCAAGTGTGAATGCCATCCTTCATTTACAGGAGCCTTCTGTGATATAAGTATGTTGTGGACAACTTATTTCTTATATATAATGTCATTTATCTTTTAGTGTGTATTAGCAATAGTGTATTGTTTGTATGTGTGTTTATGTGTGTTTATGTGTGCGTGTGTGTCTGCATGTGTTTGTAGTCAAGGAACAATATTAGTAATGTGTGGATAAATGTATTGTCCAGTTCTTATTATAAAAAAGTATTTTATGTCATTGTATAGATTGTTTTTCTTTGAAATATATAAATTGTTTGCAGTTTTGTTAGAAATTTACTTGGTCTTTCAGAAATAATTGATACACCTTGCTATGAGAATACGACCCTTCATGAAGATGGTACAGTATGGCCACAGCAATGTAACAATTGTTCTTGTCACCAGGGGGAGATAGAGTGTACAATGGTGATAATTTTCTGCTGTTTTCTCTTTTAATTTCATATTCACTTTTATGTGTAAAGCAAATTAAATCATTGCTGAAAAGATACTGGTATATAAATACAAAAATGCCTAAATGTGACATCTTTAAGGAGAACTGGGAATTTTTGCACCAAATGAGATTTTTCTCAAGAAAAAGGCAATTTTTTCCTACTCAGTAATCATTGCTCAACCTGCGCTGCCATTGTGAGATGTATTAAGCTTGTGAGGTTCTAACACCCCATTTCCATAGATTAGATCGACCTACTTTATATCGACCTAACTCCCTGGGGGTTCACGCTAAATAGTTGTCAGCCGGGCGGACACGAAAGTTAATTACCCCCTTACAGCTTGTAGTAGGCGGGACGGACATTTAAGTCGGATTATCTGAAAGTAATCTACTGAGACTCCCCGTGGGGATAGATCGATCTAAAATCTATGGGAATTGAGCCTAAGATTCAGAAGGAAATTATGACATCAGGCATGCTTCTGATGAACTTTTTTATTTGAGTTTTATTTGGTTTTTAAAACATATGCTGAATCATATTTGTTATCAAAAAAATATTCCAAAAAGTAGTTATTTAAGTTAACAAAAAGAAAAAAATAAAGAAAGAACAACAAAGTAGAAAAGGAAAAGGCAAATTGCAAAGGATAATTCAGTTAATGGAATAATTTCTTTTATGTTTATTCTTGCTATTTCTAGTTGTGGTGTGGACGAGAAAAGTGTGCTTTAGCAGACGATACTCAACAGAATACATTGCCACCAGATGTCAGGCTAACTTGCCCCCCAGGACAAACTTGTAATAAAATGTTAGATCTTGAATGTCTCAGTCCCCCCTGCAGTACTCAGTATGGGCTCTGTAGCTACCAGGGCTCCTCTTGGTGTAGCCCTCTATTGGGCTCTGCTGGACCAGAATGTACCAAGTTGAAAGTTATACTGGACCAAAAAAATATACCAAAGGTGAGACTTTGCTACTTATAAAGCCTGCTGTACTCTTGTGCATGTAATGAAATTTACGCTTATGTAAACAAAGTTCTGTGGAAAAGCATTTTAAAAATAAATTTGTTGGCATGATATTTTCTAATTTTTGGCAAGATAACAATTTTATAATTTTCCAGACCAGGGACCATTTTTAACAAAAAATACTTTTTACCATTTATTTATTTTCACCAGTCTTTACCCATATAGAATCGGACAAAAGATATACAACTTCTGCTTTTTGTGATGTTTTTATTAAATTAATAGTAGATTTACAACTTCTGTTTGTTAACTTAGCAGTACCCCAGTATTTTGTTGCAAAATTTCAGGGATTCACAGTTGAAGAATTCTGCCATGCTGTACGGAAGATTCCAGCAATAAGGAAGTTTTACCAGACGTCACCTTTGATAATCCAGTGTCAACAAGTGCAGACTGAGAAGAAAATACAGTTAGGAATATCAGTGGTGAGGAGTGATACCGTTACATTTAGTTGATGTCATTTGTTGAACAATAAGCTTTCTGCATGGGTTGTTATAACTATTATAATAAGAAAAGTCAGGAATTGTGATAGGAGAACCAAGAAATTGCTCAAACATATAGAACATTTTTTTTTAAACTTTGGTTTGAGAAGAAACATAGTGTCTGGATATATTAATTATTATATACATGTAGCAACTATACACATATAGTAATGTAGTGGTGCATTTTGGAAATCAAGGTAATTTTTTCAATGTTTAATTGTAAATAAATTGATACCACATCAGGAGAGTGAGAACGGGACTGGTCTTGGCTTGATTGCTGCAGCAGAGCTGAGGGACAACATGAAAGCTGAGGCAGGGAGAGAGGACAGCGACTTCACGGCTGTGGTAGATGTGACATTTGGAGACATAGTGGTCAAGGAACAGAAACTGAGCAGTAGTGAGTTTATTTTTATATATGTTAATTGAAGATTCCATTTTGGAAATATTCGGAGTAGGAGTTTATATAATGCTAACGAATCATTTGTTTAATTTTTTATATTAAATAAGAGACTTCATTGCAAAACTCCTTAATGTTTTGTCTTTGAGTATATTTTTTCCTTGATGTACTAATGTTATGATGTAGATGAAAACTGCTTGCTAAGTTAATTATGCATTGCATATCTCAAAGGCACATGTGAAAATCTATATCAGAAATCATGACGTGAATCAGTAAATAAAGGCAAAATTTCTTAAGGCAAAAACAAATGACTTGAATACTGATATGATCTCCATTTATCTGTTATGAAGACATGAAATAATACATTACTTTGAAATACACAGAACCTTCATTATTTCTCAGTTGTTGAATTCAGTGGAGGAATTTAATTAAATTTTTTTTTTTTATTTCAGAAGGAGACAGTTTGTTATTGACATTCATCATTGCATCCAGTGTTGCTGCGTTTGGATTACTCACTGTGATAATAGTGTATTGTAGGAGAAAATGTAACGCAAAAAAGTTGCATTCCTCCGTGAAGGTAGGAGATGGACAGGAGCCATATTTGGTCCTGTCACCCGAGAATTCCACCAGCAAGACAACTGCTTTTATAAACCCGGTGTATGGCAGAAACAGTCATGAAACGGAGTCTGCAACATGTGATAAAAATTTGACCTTGGAAGAGCGACATGTGTCACAGTTTGTAACATTTGGAAAAAGGCAAAACGAAAGCTTATCATAAGTGGGAACAGAAATAGATGATAAGTTGATTCATAGATCATCAAGGTTTACACACATTTGCATGACTTATGCCTGGTAACATTATAATTATGTGCCCACATGAAGAAAATGGTGCCAAAAAGGAGAAAAGCTTTAACATATAGAGGAGAAAGATGCTGCAGAAGGGCCCCTTTACATTTCAGATAATGCTAGAACGTGAACAGTTGATACACAATTTCAATCAAAGCAATCAAAAAGTGAAGAAAAAAAGCTGGGGATTGCTGCTTTATGTAATAAATACCAAGCTTTGTTCTCTTTGAATTGTATTCATTTGACTCCAGTATTACTGAAATATCTAGACAGAATCAAACTTATTCCTGTGGTTGAAAGTTTTTAAAGAAAATGTGTTTGAGGAGATATTAAGCAATGAGCACAATTTGAACATGATTGTGTTTGAGGTGCTATTAAGCAATGAGCACAACTTGATTGTGTTTCTTCCATGAAATTATTCTGTGATTGTGTCTGTGCAATGGACAGTGACATTTGTAATCTTTAATGCACAATTACTGGAAAACAATTTATAGTTGTATTTCCAATTTTCAATATTGTTTTATGTTACTTATATACCTCGGCTTTTTACATTTTATTTTTCAGAAATCACTGAATGCTCACGAATGTTATTTAAAACAAGTACAGTGATTAAGGTGACATTAACTTCACTTTCAGACTGTACTTCTGTTAAATATTTTACAAAAAATAAATAAATAAGAAATAGTAAATGAAAATGCAATGTTTTAAAGTTAACCTTTAATTAGTTTTTTTTTTTAAGAAAACATTTTTTTTTATCAATTGAGCCATTATGTCCTTTTTACACAGAGTGAAATGAAACTATAAAATTAAACTTGTTACATTCTGAGCTCATTGGTCCAGCCCAGTTTGGCCCTATGATCAGCCCCAAGCTTTAGGTAACTAATATTCCAACTGAGCAGTTTTGATGTTATGGTATTTATATTAAAATTGATTATTTGATAATATCCAAACTTTCCTGAGAAAATAATCAAATAGAAGAACATATTAAACAGTCACCGCCCGTGTGAGCACTTAAAACAAGCACCAGACCCCTCTAATATGAATATAGAAATCAAATTAGACACAATGAATTAACAGTTCAGACACTGCTATGGTCAGTGCTTTCTCTGGCATACTCTTATAGTACATGAAGTGATTTCCTCACTGTGGTCATGGCCCATACATAGGACAGTGACTAATTCATCATAAATATGCAGCTATAGTAAACCACGGACATTAAACAAGGGATGGATTAGTAAGAACTGTTAACTGTACCAGCAGACTATACCCATACAGCATTTGCCTTATGTAGTTCATCACTATTGCCTTCACGGTCCTCAATAGTGCTACTAATGCTAGTTTGTACAACTGCAGGCATACCAATGCTCCACATTTCCTTAATTCTTTCTCGGAAAATATGGCAGCTTTACATGTGGGAAATGAAAAAGGCGGTTTAATTTAACACTCTGCTTGCTTCAGGATAAATGGTAGAGTGTCAGGAGAGAAAAAAGAAGTAGTTAAGGCCCTATCATCTTAAATGTCAGTATCGTCTGAGGACCGCAAGGCAGATAAGAAAGACTAATGACTGTATTGGGACACGCAAGTAGTGAGCTATGGTAAAATTTAATCAAAGTTTATTTCATGAAGGGCTCTCTAAGCCAGTTGGATATCACCCATTTACCACACTTTGGGCTTGATAACCAACGATCCTCCGACTTTAATGGCATTACATGGGTAATTACATCTCTTCTGACTGTGCAGGCCCAGGTAGTTTTCACCAGTTGACTGCGCCACTAAATTATTATCCCCATTTATCTAGCTCATTTTTTTGTCCCTGAGCGGCAGTTATTGGATTCTGTGGATAAACTGAGCAAACAAACAGAAAGAAAATCCCAGGTTTCAATATCATTGCCATTTTATTAAAAGCCTTCCCGTCAACCTTTTGAGCAAATAACAATCAAATAACAATCCTGATTGTTTCCCCAATATTTATTGACGATGTGATACACTGAAATCAATAAACATCAATTCTGTGCCGGCACAAAAGTTAATGTCTCGAAGAAAAGTGGAATCCATTAATTATATGGTCTTTGATTTCGGTGCTCACCTCTGCAGCATCAGTTGACGGTGATAAAAATGACAGATCAGGCAGAGACCCCGAGAGCTTTGTTTTTTTAAATAACCTCAGCATTGTTGAATTAAAGTTCAATTTACCATAGAAACTAAAGGTGGGAAGTTTTTTTATCAAGCAGGAAACACACTTTTTTGTCAAATGAGATTAGGATTACCAAGTGTTTTACAGCTGCTGTCTAGAGAGAAGGTAATTAAACCTTTTGTTTTTTTTAAAGTGATATATTATATTGAACCATTATGTTCTTGCTGCGCATGTATGATGTCTTCTTACAGGGATATAATGGAGTTTGTAGACATGAAAAAGAATAATCGTCCTCTGTCACTCTACTCCCTGATGTTCTATAAGTATGACTGGAATGAAGTTACACAATAGGTAACACTTATACCATTAACATCAAAAGTCCATTAACTCCACACAACAACCTCCCTGTTTTAAACCCAGTCAATAGATTCCCATGGCTCATTGTCATGTACAATTCAATTGCTTCTTTTGTGGGCAGATACGTTGTTCAGTACGGTAGAAAAAATATACAAGAAAGGAGATCTTTCAATGCAAGGCATTGCTTTCTTTCACATGAAGCTGTGAAAGATCCAGGGGGTTTCTGAAGCGAGACTGGGGGGAGGGAGGGGGGGGGGGTAGTGGTAAAAATTGCTCCTTCTGGGCATGTGTACATGAAGAAGACTGTGTTTGAACTGGCCAATAGCAAAAATTGATTTATAGAAATGTAGTAAATGTACACTTTTCTTGAACTTACAGAATAACTAATAACATGTTTTTATTCCCGAAGTTTGTCCAAAATTAAATTAAATTAATAGTTCATTTCAATTTCTATCCTATAATGAAACTAATTCAAAGTGTTTCTATAGTTCCGTTTCCACAAAATTCCTTGATTCAGCTCTCCCCACTCCTCCCAACCTTCACCTGTTTCTTTTTTGGAGTTTAAGAACACACACACACACACACACCTCCAAGGTAATATTATTAGCATGGTTTTATGTAAAACCTGGCATTTGACTTATGAAAAATTTGCCAGGTGGCAGCACTTTTCTGACAAAATGAAGATTTCCATCAAGATTGTGTTTAATATAGTTATCAAAGTGAATTTTTAAAACAAATTTTCAGCAAATATTATTATTTATCTAGAGGAGTTGTACATTTAACCAAAGAAAAGAAAAGTCACACACTTTCAAACTGCTTTAAGATAATTTCTTTATTGCTTTAATATCAGTTTGACGCTTATCTCCAGTTCAAAATGGTGGGTGGTAAAATTGTTGCCAGTCCCTTGGACCAACTGAATTCCATTTTCCTCTGGGCCTTGAAAATTATTTATTGATCATGACTAGTAGAACCTGTATGTCAGTTGACTGAATGATAAACTAGCGTAAATCTGACATCATTTTACAAAAAGGTTTGAAATTAACTTTATTATATAAAGCTGAACATAAAACTGATACCAGGCAATTTCCCACATGAGGTAGAGCTAGAAATGGCAGCTCACAGCTGAAATCATGCGTCATTAAATGCTAGACTACCTAGTTTAAATCTGATATCATTAAAATATATAAAGTCATTATCTTTATAATCCAAAGCTTAACAAATATATTACTGACAAAAGGCATACATGGGGTAGTCATACTAGTAGCTCCACAATGGAGTTCTCAGGTGAGTCTTGCATCATTTCAGTGACAGGCTAGCTTACACCTGATCAATTTTACAAAAAAGCATAAAATCATTTTCTTTAAAAAAACAAAACTTTCAATGACAAAAGGCAGCTTTGGCTCCAATAAGAACCAGGTGGACAAATCCTCAGCCTTCAGTTATTGATCCTTTTCTCTTTGTTTTTTCTGTGTTGACACAGTTACTGGTTAGCAGTATTTGAGAGGAATTTTCCTCCAATCATGAGCGATTTTTTGAAAGTTCTGTTCATATAGATCAAGTTCGTTAAAAAAGTTATAAATATATTAAGATACTGTTTATAATTTTGGTTTAACAAAATAGCATGAAAATGATTTATCAACATATGCCATAAAAATAGAAAAATTAATTCAAAGCATATAAAGCATAATGTGCAGTCATTTTATTATCATTATGTCATCTTTGAGGAATACATGAAATCTTGTCAAAGAGATGAAAGAGTTCACAAAATGCACCTTCCCCTCACTTCTTCAGAAGAAATCATGATTCCCTACTCTCTTGGCAGGCCGTCCATCACCCACTGTGCAAGACAGCACTTGGAACTTCTTCTTGAATTCATCAATATTCACATAACAACCCTGGAATTGGTTAAATTGTTTTACTTCTCATTTTGGAAAACAAGGCAGCAGAGCTGTCAAACGTACAGACAAAAAGCAGAAAATAATAATGCACGTTACTGTCAAAACTTCAACAAAGTAATCTAATCAAGCTAATTTTCAGACCTTTGAATCAGACCTGCGAGTTTTAAAGCAAAATATAACATGGTCTCTATTTTATTTGTATATTTCTGGATAAAATATGCCGAAAAAAGAAAATTAAACAGTATAATTTTTGGAAAAATTATCAGATCAGGCTTATTTTCAAACTTAACTTGTATTTCATGAATATTCATCAGTTCTGTAAGTTTGAAGACAAAAGGTAAAATGGTTTTCATTTTATTTGTATAACAGTGCATAAAATATGCTAAAAAAAAGCCAAAAAAAAGCATAACTTTCTGAAAAATGGTCAGATCAGGCTGATTTTCAAACTTGACCTGAATTTCATAAATTTTCATCAATTCTGTAAGTTTGAAGACACAAGGTAAAATGGTTTTCTTCCTCTTTGTATAACAATGAAAGCGACGCCAATAACACACTGGCCATACCAGACTCAGGCAACAGCAATATGTACATGCAGACACATCTGTGTATAAAAACTCAACATGCATGTTAAACCTTGACCACTGGAAAGTTAAATCTATAACACTAAATGAAAACATTAACTTATTTTTACTTAGACTAGTATAATGACCAAGCATATCAGTGTTTCTTTTGCAGGTTTAAAATCTCACCTGTAGGTGGCGCATACCGCCATTCAGCTCAAACGCCTTGCGTCCATGAAGAACTCTTCTGTTATTAAAGACAATCAAGTCTCCAGGATTCAGATGACGTTCAATCTGTGAAATATTAATATCATAAATATCTCTGCAATTAACTGACCCAGGCAGTGTGCTGATTAATCAAATTTGACAAGGAAACCAATTAGGGTTAAATGTTTAAAATATGATGAGTGGCTATCAATCCCTATGGCTTTGAGGTACTGAATACATTTCATTCACTTCATAAAATTATTTTTAAAATCCAATACTTCACTTTGATTTTTCCCAGGTTCAATATAAGTGATTACAGACTTTTGAGTCACTAGCATACTTACTATATGGGGCGAGTTGCAGAGCATTGACATAAAGCGATGATAAGCCTTATAATATGGCTCTACATCTTCCTGAAAAATGGAAATAATATACATAATTTTACAGCATTTATAAAAGAAAGAAAAACCCATCCCCTTTGTGAAGAACTTGAACAAACAGCCTAAATTTATATTGTACTACAAAGATGCTCATTATTCAAGAATTTTGACCAGAGTATTTATTTCAGAGGAATAGCAATCCAATATTACCTACCTCAGGCACAAACAGAGGTCCTTCAAAATTTGGTGACCAATTGACAGCAACTATCTAAAAGTATAACACCAGTTTAATCAAACTACAATTAAAATATCCACAGACACACCCATCTCCCTCTCTCTCTCTCCCTCTCTCTCTCTGCCAGTCTTTGATTGCATTCACAACGAGTTGAGCCAGGCTTTACAAATCCTGGGGACTAAATATGGTGGACGTACATGAAAGAAAAACCGCCTAATCTTGTAATAGTCTCTTTGCCTCTCACACGCCTCCCCACACGTCATCCCTGCGGGGGGACAGTCATTAAATCTCAGCTCCATTGGGACGACACATTGGGAGGCATGTAATAACATAGTACACACATTTACTCACACCCATTTTATACATTGCTATATTGTTGTAACTATCCAACTTTAATCCCTCCCTCAGTATCATCCATATTCCTCTGATTTATTCCTTTAGTCTATCCCTCACCTCTCTCCTGTGATTCAGTGCTATGTGAGGCCTTTGGTAGGTCATGTACACTGGATATTCTCTGCAATTAAACAATACTACGTTATCGCATTACCTAAGGTCAACATCTAATGCTTACAGGTATTCTTGCCAAGATATTCCTACCAAATTGATTTTCCTTGTGAAAAAAAAAAAACTGTGACTTGGCATCATGTAAAATATTGACAATTTTGTTTTTTTTTTTTGCTTGAAGCTGTGATATGCCATGGCTTGGACTTTGCAAGAATATAAAGTGCAGGAGGAAATGATGATGTAAAGAGTGCTTATTAAACAGATTTTACTGTTTTAAGGTCTTAATTGGGAAGGATAATAAGCTTTGCAGGTTAAAAATATGGCTTTGGGGCACTATCCAACGCAGGCAGAGAACCTTTCACCATTTCTTTCCAAAAGACTTTTGACAAAGAGTTATAAACAATCAAAAAATAAAAAGCTAATTACTGACAGATCACAGCAGAAGTAAAAAGAAATGTATCTCTTGGAATTATTTACTACTACTACTACTACTTTTGCTGCTGCTACAATTACTACATCTTTGACCAATCAAAAATATTTCAACTGAGCCAGACATAATTCTTACTGTAAGCTTATGTAATTCCATAAACTTGAATTTCAAATTTTATATTTCAGGACGTCATGGAAAAATACAAGAACCTCACCTTTCAAAGTGTATTTTCTGAAAAGTAGCTGGCACACGTGCTAATGTTTCAAAATCCTCTGGATACTGTTCCCTGAATTCTTCAGCTACAACAAAGCAGTCAAGGAATATGCTTTCCCCTCCTGTTACTTCTGGGTCAAATCTAAAAAACAGTTGTCATTCATGTTGAAATAACTTCATCCATTTGATAAACTGTTAAAAAAAAAATAAAGTAATATTTTTTTAGACAAATGAAGGAAACCACCTGCAGTATGACACCTGATCTAACCCATTTTTAATATCATAATGCAAGATTTTTTATTGGTCACATTCGGTGTTTCTGCTTTTTCATGTATCAGAAATAGCTTACTTTTTGGATCCCATTTGAATATATAATTTCCATTTCTATTGCAGCCAGACTAGACAACAAGCAAGCAAGACTACAGGCATTTTCATTATTTTCAAATTAATAATAAACATTTTGAATGCCCCCATTCTTGGTGTTCATTTTGTTTACTACCAGGAGGGGAGAAAAGTTCTTACTAATTAACCTGAAATATTTCAGAAGCATTTCATCTCACCTAACGCAATGCAGAAACTGGAGGCCTGGTGGTGACTCGTAGTACATCAAGTCCATGTGAAAGTCCAGAAAGGAACTGGAGTAGGCCACATTGATGGGTTCTGGGTTGGAGATCACATCAAACACCTAGTTGACAAATAACATAATGTCAAAATTTGTACAACAAATAAATAATACTGTTCACATTTTGAATGCACTTCTGCTCTTTTATTGCTCACTTAATCCTGTTGGAGAAAAGAACTATTGTGACAGTTTAAGACCATCTAGGCTAAAGAAAACAGACTTTAATCGAAAATTTGACAATTTTTTGATAATAAAAATATAAGTCTTAGATCCCATTTCCATAGACGCAATTGGTCTGGGTAGATCCTTCAGGGACTCTCGCAAAGTGCAATCAGCTTAAGTGAATGACAAGCCTCTTCTTGTTTCCAATATACTGGTAACATCACACATTTATTCCGCATAAACGTCAGGAGGAGGCGTGTTAATCTGTTAAACTGATTGCAATCAGCAAGATTCCCTGTAGACTTGGAAGTTCAACTATTCCTACCTCCTCATATATAGTCTGCTGAAGTGGAAATATTTTCTCAGCCACCTATAATATATAAAAAATGAATCACTGTATTTCTTGCTATATCAATATTCAATATCAAGTTTCAAATTTAAGTTGCAAGTATTTTTTTTTTATTTATTTATTTATTTTTTGTCAATTTTGGTCCTGACATCAGTTCTCAACCTTAACTATATTTTGTGGTGAACTTTTATCATTGCACCTATTACAAAAAGTTTATATCTTAGCAGCTCAACAGTAACACGGTGAGTATAGTAAACTGGCTCATAGCTCCCATTCACATATCAGTGATGAAATTCCATGGCCACTTTTCCAGCTACTTGTCTTACATTTTTGCATTTTAATGTCAGTAAAGAGCATTTAGTTGCTATCTCTTTAAAAAATCACCAATCAATATATTTATACTGGATGGTCATTATATACAATTACTATCTGATCAAATGGATAGAAAGCGCCATCATAAATACCCATTTTCAGGTTTACCAAAGTTTAAATAAAGCAGACTTGTATGTCATTCAAGGTCATGGACTTATATCAAAATGACCCCTTTATTTCCTGATTAAAGTAGAAAGATAAACGAGAGAAGTAGAACGGACCACAGATAAGGTCGATATGATCAAAACTTTCTTTGGCTGACCCACTAAGCAACCAACCACAATAAGCTGATTGTGAATTATTACATGTGCTATTTTTGGAAAATATCTCAACAATTTACCAAAACAGTAGTAATGCCTTCACAACTTTTTTAAGCCTGTGTCTCTTTTTATTATATAAACAACTTAATTTGATTGAAAAGTTTGCCAGGTCAATTTATCTTTATGTAACAAGGGTAGCTATATAAAATAAAATCCAAAATTACTTAATTTTGACAATGGAAATAAAATTCATTGACCTAAAATATTACACAACTACTCTGCAACAAGAATAATTTCTGAAATATTTGTCCTTCTGTATACTTCATTATATTACTGAAGTAATCCTTTTAGCTTTAGTAATGATAATTCTAGTCACACTGATAAAGAATGTTCACACATGCTATCTTCCTGTGGCTTGCTTGTGAAAGTCTGATTATAATGAATGAACACCATTCAGTAAGACACTGACATTTAACAAATTGGATCAAAACATGGCATATCCTTTAAGAAAGGCAATGTGTTACAGTTGATGTCTGCCCTTGCCCTGTATTTTGACTCTAAAGATATATCTTACAAAGGTTTAATGTGAAACAGTGAAAGCTGGTTACCCCCCTCCCCTCAATTAACCTTAGAGGGGTTTAACAAGAGAAGGGGGAGGGAGATGTAACAGTGAATAATTTAACAATTAGCTCCAGTGCTATGATTTCAAGATGTTAAAACTACAGATGCAAAATGATATTGTTCAAAAGGTTTGTCAAAGTACAGTTTGGGCTATAATGTCACTGGGTAGGAATAAACTGTCTACTACTGACTTCATTATTAAAATTCAAGCATGCCTTCTTTGCTATAGACAGTCAGCTAGCTAATCTTAGTCTTGATATCTGTTCTGGCTATTCTGATAGAAGGTTATAAACCACACATTCATATTTAACATTGTATATGTAATTAAAACTAAGGTGTATATGCCGTGGGAGTTCCTAGTATTCTACCCACATGGAAAGGATAAAAGGATGATACTTTCTACCCACACTACCCCGACAGGAATGTACATTTCCTGCAAAACATGATCACTCACGACAGTCACTGCCAAAGCAGGATATCTGTGGCCTGCAAGTCCTTCATCAAATGAATATAAACACAACATTTACACATTATAAAATTATTTAAGTTAAATTTAAAACTGCACCTTCCGGTAATGACGCAGTCCTTGAAGGTAATATATTAATAAAAGACGTAAATACAAGGAATGACGTAAATTTACTACGCACAAATATAACGACAAATCTCATCTATATACAGTAATTTGCGGGCTGCCAATAAAGTACACACAGGCTCAATAATAACAGAATGGACGTAAAGTTACTGTGGGTGTCAACCTTAATGTAGAAAGATGAAATATTTGCTGAGTACTGCAAAACAGACCAAGATTCTAGTAAGTGGCTTGTAGTGTATTTTATTTAAAGTAAAAAAATATATGGATTTTTTTTATTTCTATTACTATTTCTAATAACTTGTAATCAAATTTCTGATATATATTTTGTACATATATATTAACTGAATAATTGTTATTATTATTATTATTAGTAGTAGTAGTAGATATAATTACAATCAATACTGACTAATGACCATTCAAACTTAAGGACATCTGAAACTGTGAATGGTTTGAAAAAATAGGAGGAATGACAAATGTGTGTGTGAGAGAGAGAGAGAGAGAGAGAGAGAGGACTTCCAATGTTATTTTTCTAAAATTTTTTTTTTACAATCTGTCATTTGCTTTATTTTTGCTTTGAAATCAATCTAAAACAAATATTATACTGGTAAAAATGTTAATTGAACAAATGAACTCATCCAAAGTAATTAACTCTTTGTACAATATACTTAATACAATATACAAATATGGCGACCCACTACAAAGCTTGCCGTCTAGTACGCTAATAGACACTGAATAGATATCCCGTGGGGAAGTTTTCAAGAGGGTCGGCCATATTTGACCCTCAGACTAGTTAGTCCACTGTTCTGAATGCGGCCATATAGAGATGTCTATTTTATGTGTGTATGATTACAAAAGAAAAGATTTATTCTCAAACAAGACAAGGAGAGAGAGACACATGGGGGAAAACATTCTTCCTTATAAGCATTGTCTAGCTTGTTTGAAGCAGTTAGGGTTTGTTCACATGAAAAATCTATTTTCTAAAAATCTACTGCGCATGCATCAAGGCGTCAGAATCTCCTCCGAGCGCGGCCGAGAATTAATTACAGCTTTGGAAGTAACTGGCTCGCGCTGCCAGTAATTACGCCGTGGGGTATTCAGGGCACAGACAGTGATCACAAGATACCGCCAATAGATTTTTAGATTTTTAGAAAATAGATTTTTCATGTGAACGAACCCTTACTTCAGGCCTTTATATGTCATTACCTGCTTCACAGTTCCTAACTGTGTGGGTACCTCCTTGACCAGACATATGCCTTCATCTACCAGGGCTGATAACCATCTGTGGAAGGAAATACATCTTAATATGTAGTTACAGACACTTTCTGCTCTCTCTCTCTCTCTCTCTCTCTCTCTCTCTCTCTCACACACACACACACACACACACACACACACACACGCACACACACACACACACATTTTGTCATTCCTCATATATATAATTTACAAAAATACATACCAATAATATAGAAATATATACTCAAAGCTCCTTCAAGTTCATGTAATGCATATGAGAGTACAATTAAACATACCTAAAATCAAATTTTTCAAATTACAAAACCACAGATTTTAATCCAAGCAAAAGAATAAGAAAAATTACAAAACCAAAGAGATTGAAAAAAGATTTACCTCAACAACCCTCTGTCATTAGCATTGACTTCATCATAGGTGACCTCTGGAATTTTATCCTACTGAAAATAATCAACTTGCTTAATATCAAAAATGTGCATATTTAGAGGTGTGTGTGTGTGTGTGTGTGTGTGTGTGTGTGTGTGTGTGTGTCAGAGTATGTATGCAAATGCACTACCCATCAGTACCATCTAGTTCATTATAGTATTAAATAGACTAACTTATAGGATAAACATATTATTCATGAAAGTTTGAAAATATTAACTCTGAATATAATCACTGCAATCACTTGGAAAATTTGGGAGGAAGGGGAGGGCTTGGTACTCAAACCTACAAATAAATTCCCCCCACTTTCTGCAGTGACATCTAGTGGAGTATGTCATGACTAAGATCACGTGAAAAGCCCAAAAGCTTCATGGACTTTCAGTATGATTAAACAATGTAAATTTCATGAATAATTAATGCCATGAAATTGAATTGAAAACATTGTCAAATCAAATTCTAAATAGAATTTGCCTTTTCTGTCTCACAGCAATTAAGAATCTTCCAGCTCCAACTCTTACCCATTTCCTGGATGTTTTCACTGACTGAGCTCTCTGTTCTATTGCCTCCTTGGAATAGCTGTTTTCTCTCAACATTTTCAGGGGAATTCTGCCGGTGTGATCTGGATCCTCATTCCAAACCAGACATAAATCAGCACCTTAAAACAGTTCTGAGATGTAGTTGATATACTAGTAATTTTATCAACTACATCTCAGCACCTTAAAACAGTTCTGAGATGTAGTTGATAAAATTACTAGTATAAGCTGCTTTTAATATGTTCCACCCCTATTAATCAGCCAACCCAACCCTATCAATACCAACCAATCAATTATCAGGTATATTTTTGTCATATTTTTATTTAGTTACTCCTACTCAATCATTTCTGACATACATGTAATTTAAGGGTATATTTTCTAATACCATATCATGTTACAAAGAAAAAGAAAAATTCAATTATTAGTGGAGAAGAAATATTGCTATCTAACCTTATTTTTCAAAACTTTCATTTGTTAGTGTAATAAAACCATTCTACAGTTGTTCAGACATGCTGAAAACTTTTCAGAATGACCGGACATTTGGACCGGCAGTAATGAAAAATTTGCCGGGCCTAATGGATTTTTGTCAGACCGAAAATCACTCTATTCGTTTGAGACAGATACTACCAGTACGATTAGGGTAGCTTACTTATTTTGTGAATGTGATAGGTTTGAAACGGAAGGGAAAAACGCTTTGGGTTTTATATAATTTTATTAGTGACGTATGTCGAATGATGACTGTAAATTCAAAATTGTGGCTCTTAAAACTCTTGTCGGTCCTTTGGACCGACCAAGTCCAATTTTTTACCGGTCCAGACAAATTTTACTGGTCATGACCGATTGGACCGACAGTTTCAGCATGTCTGGTTGTTCTGAGATTTGGAACACACAATGCATAGACCTAGCTGTCGCTATGAGGTTAATTTCACATCATGTGATCCAGGAAACCAGGTCATGTGAGCAATGAAACTAATAAAAGTCATTGACCTGATATAAGAAACCGTTAGTAACCTTACAAAGCGCACTCGTAATGAGAGTGACGGAAGGCTGCATCTCAGATTTATTAGATTCGATTCATTAACCAATCAAGGTGACAACAGTACTAACTCCTAACCACATGACTTGTTTGCCAGACATATAAGTGAAGACAGGTTACGACATGAGCATTTAGCACCTCTGCCATAAGCTGTGCGACTTACAACTCCCAGTTGCAAAATTATTGCTACCATCTGACCAAAAGACATAGTGGTCCAGCGACAATTTTTGCGAAGAATTTAATACATCAGACACCTGACCTCTAGGAAAGAGTACAGTATATAATTCCCGTACCTTCTCTAGACACAGACTTGATGGTCACTAGGGCTGGCATGGACAGTGGATTGATGGTAATCTGACCACTATGAGGCTGTTTACACTGGTCACAGTGGCAGTTGTAACGCAACCAGGTTGAATTATACCTGGGAAGTTAAATAATATTACTAGGTCGAATTATATCTCTTAAGGTAAATAATATTACCAGGTTTAATATGATAATACCTGTGAGTTAAATTATATTACTAGGTTGAATAATATTACGAATTTTAGAGAGATATGGTTGCATGTCAATGTTTAATATTTTGCATTTTAATTGATATCTACCTTCACAAACAAGTTACAACCAAGTACTGCAGTAAGAGATCTGTATTTGTTTGCTGGAGTATGCATCAAAATCTTGCATCATTTTTTCCCCCTTACCTGTCTTCTTTGCCATCTTTCCACTGCAGAGAAACTGGAGTATGATTTTGTCCATGTGATGAGGCAGAAAAGCAGTGCACAAGCACCCGGCCATACATAACTTGTATGAGAAAAGAAAACATCGAAAAATCTTGCAACATTTTTCCCCCCTTACCTGTCTTCTTTGCCATCTTTCCACTGCAGAGCAACTATTCTGGCGCTTGGTTCCACAGAGACACTGTCTAATACTGTGTCCTTGGGGGCCGTCTGTTGTAATAAGAAGTGAAAATCATACAAATATTAACAGTATGTAATAGTGCAAGATCTTATCTTGACTTTATATAACTGATAGAAGATGTGCTTTGAAAGTTACATATAAAGAATATAAATCATTTTGGAAAGTAGTGTAACTTTTAAAAATATTTCAACTGCGTTCTTCACATCCTTGATACATGTACATGTACGCTGAAAGACCAACATCAATTCAGTACTTTACAAATCCATATGAGTTTATGATAATATTCCAAAGAATTCCATATATTTCAAAGAATACTTACAGCTGTACAATATGCAGTTTTCTGTTGGCAATATTTCTCCCTGTATAAATTCATTTTTGTTGGATTTCTGAATAACACCTCTGTATTTAGAAGAAATGAAAAACAAAACATTATTTTAAAAAATAACTTACTGACGCCCTTGTCTGTAAATAACAGTCTCAATACAATGTACTAATAAACTGATAACTATTCAACACACAAGGCAGATTTTTTTTTTTTTTTTTTGCTTGAAAAAATTAATCCACTCATAAGGTTATTGCACAAGGTAATACATTCAACCTTTTCAGACTGTCTACATGGCATGCAGTATATGTATGATCATTCATGTTTTACCTTCACACTACTTGACATATATACTTATATCTATGAACTTACCCTGAGCGACACCCCAGGATGCCGCAGCATTGGAGCACCTTGGCAATCTACAGAAGACATTTCTACAGACACAGAGAGCCAGTGCCTTGGACCCCATTCTTCTGGAAACAAATAATATTTGTACAATATATCAAGAACAAGTGGTAGTCTTCAGGAGAGGAATCGTGGCTGCCGTCTGCTGTCTGGTGAAGGCATTCACATCTTAACCTAGGTTATCTGACCCAGACTACAGTCTATTTTTATTCATGACCAAATGCACCCCTCCAGTTTCAGGTTCAAAGAACGTTTGCAATGACCAACATATATGACATCTATCATTGCTTCTTCCATAAAGGGAAAAATAGTTTGGCTTTTGCACACTAAATCTTCTTACAATTTTCTGAAGATGGCTTTAAAAATTAATGTTTGGATCCACAAGAGGTAATTATCATCACTTTCTTCTTAAACTGACCCCCAAGGATGGATCTGTCTGATTTCGGTGATTTCACAGTTCAAAGGTTCAAGGGTCCAAAGGTTCATTTATCTAAAGTGTTTTTTTTTTTTTTTAATCCATGGGATTGCAGATATAATTATTCACTGATCGAAAACCTCGACTATATTGCTCAGGGGTTCACTGTTCTGTATAGTATTAATATAATAGCAATTGTTATCAGCAAAACTAGATCTTTCTCTGCACTTTTTTAACAATTAAATTAATGTATTAAAAGTAACTGTTTTTGGTTTAAAGCTTTATGGCCAATGGACAACAATCAAGACAGCGCAAAGTCTAGCAAATTAGGCTGTGTTCAGAATAGAAGTAATATTGTACTAGCAGGATTGATATATCTTAGCAGGGATTATCACCAAGGTGCAGTCGATGTTATCAGCTTAATTATCTGATACACCCCCTCATAAAAAGTCCTTGGGTAAAGTTAGGAAAACTTTGTGGTCAATGATCAGGGGCAGATCCAGGATTGTTTGAAGGGGAAGGTCCGCGGTTACCAAGCCGCCGCCGACCCCTGCCCCCACTTGGCGTGGGGTTTGGGGCCGGCTGAAGGGCCCGAAAATTTTTGGTATTTCAGGACCCCCCCCTGACTCCAACCTCTAAATCCACCACTGATCGAATGATGTTGTGCATGTTGCTTTGATGTCATAACTCATATGGCAGACAGCTAATGTGGATATTTCCTGATGGAAATTTTTGAAGGCCCATTTTCATATAGGTGTGATGGTGAACTACTCTTGGTTAAAATATTTTAAGGCTGAAGGGTCTAGTTCTGATGAATTGCAGTCTAAAGGATAAAAGTACCAATGTTTTGAGTGTTACTTAAGTATTACTTTCTCAGTCAAAATTACTGGTGCATTAAGTTGCAGAGATCGCTTAAAAGTGAAAACATGGCCCGCTTATAGCTGAATCTTGTCCTTATTTTACTCCTGTATCAGGGGCGGATTGAGACCGTCTTCTGGGTCGTCCGGAAGATGGTCAGAGTTTAAAGTTTACATTGACGGGTATCTTTTTTTTTTCTGTCTGAAGACGGTCAAAAATGGAGGATGGATCAACAAATATAATTTGGAAGACTGTCAGAAATAAATCTAATCTGCCCCTGCTGTATGACAATATAATACCAAACAATAGAGTTTATTTCATGTTGGAAAGTTTATCCTAGAATGTACCTTAACTGCTACCCAACAACCAAAACATGTAACAGGTACGTAATCAACTTTCAGACCAATGAACCTTTGCTTCTCTCTCAAACCCCCACCCTCACTTTTAAGTTTTGCCTACATGTACATAGTGCCAAAAGACAAACGGGAGAAATGTTGGAACGTATGCCAGCCAGTGAAATGTCGGCCTACTACATGTATTTGTATGTCATCTCAGTGTGTCCATATGTTCCTGTGGGCCTCCCTCCTTATTATACAGTCAATATTGATACCTGGACAACCTTCACTGATCCATGCTACCTTCACCAGCCCATGTGTAAGTTAACTGATGAAGTTACCTGTTTTAACACATGACTGACCACAGCACGTGTTGCATAATGGCTGTCTAGACGGCTGATAAGGTCCGAGATCCACTGATACGGTGCGGTGACCGAGGTCAACTAGTAAAGGGCCTCCATGATATTCTACAGCCAGACATGGAAACTTTTTATAGTTGACATTGATGCGCCATTTTCTCTTTATTACAAATGTTTTATAATTCAAATAAATCGATGGTTATCGATCTCAATATGGTGTCGAAACGAGGCTTCGTTGTTTCACGAGTCCAGAGAAATGCAGAAAAACAGATAGATCTACAAGAAGAATATAGTCTTGATAAATATTTTAACGTTACTCATACATCTTTCTTCTCCTCATTGTATTGCTAACTGGGCAGTTACCTTGGTGTTTTGACAACAGCACATTCAAACGCCGATCACTTACCTGAGACACAATTAATTACCAATGATGACCGGTAAGGTTATTTCTAGCAGCTAGCTTTCCATGGCTTGTTTACGTAGAATGCGATAGTTGAGACAAAGTTGAGACAGTCGCAATGCAATCGATTCTATCCACCGTAAATATCCCAGCAGTACTAACACGTGCTCCTCGTAAATTTTGTGCATGACCGTCATTGCTCTTATTGTTCTCTTTTCCTTGAACTGAGAGTAGAAGGCGTCATTTTAAGAAAAATTATAGGATAAGATCAATGTTGCTTTATAAGATTGGTATTGTGTAATTTATTTGTGACAGATAGAGAATTTCATGTGATAGCACGAAAAACGAACAAACAAACATGATCACCGCTGAATCTATGTACGTCAGTAGCAGATTCTATGTTATTTCTTTAGTTTCTGTATAAAACTCTTGGATAAATGATAATTATAAATGAAACAAGATAAACGGCAAATGTCAAAAAGCAATTTATATTCATTAATTAGAATAATTATTTCTATTGTTGAATGTCGAAGCTGAATGCGTCGAAATTTCGATGGATGTCGTTAATGGTTTCCAACACTTGTTGTTTAACAGCATTTATGTCATTAAAATCAAATTAAGAAATATATTATTCATAAATCAACATGCTTGTTGTTTAGGATTCTGCCTTTATTTCTTTCCAAAAGATTGTTTCTGAGACGCCCATGTCTAGATCCAAGGCAAAAATAGGCCTACCTGTCTACCTTGTTTGCATTCTGATAGCTTGATCAGCTGATTTTCATAGACATAAAGCATTACTGGTAAATAAAAAATAAAGAAACGTCTAGGATCGTTTTGATCATGAATAACGAAAAGCTTGTCTGTAGTCCCATATATTTCATTTATGTCAATCAAGATAAATCGCAATTTGCAGAAAAAATTCTTAAAACGCACATCTTTCACATTTAAAGGAAATAAAATACAGTAAGTAAATAAATGAGTAAATAAAAAATGAGGATTTTAGATTTTTCTTTGTCATTTAAAAATACAATTGGAATTTAAACTGTGAACCAAAATATCATAAAATTGTTTAACCGGTGGGTTGATGTTCGCGCCTCCTCCTTTCAGTAAAATAAATACAGACACGGGCGGTGAAACATACAACACAGGGCTGGCCTTCGCTTTATGGGTGCCATTTTACTTGGAAGAATTAAAGGCTGGTAAATCTAACTGAAGGCTAGCGGTATTTTTGGATAATGACATTAACCAGATTAAGCAAATGTAGAAATGGGATTATTTACCTTGGTCATAGAAATGTATGATAGAAAATGCTGGTTGACTGAAGTGCAGTGAATGGCTATCTAAGGACAGGTTCTTTCCGCGTACCTTGTTAAAAGTAGTTAAGAGGACGAATGATGCTATTTCTAGGTTATCAAATCTATCGTGAAAATCCGATTTTTTTACTGTGTGGTCAGTAACATCACAGTAAAATTGGTGTGTGCAGTGATTTTTACATCAGGGGGGCAATTTTTCCAAGCTGTCTGCTTGTTTTTACAGTTAATTTAACAGTTTAAATGCTAAAGCTCGATGTGGTTTAGCGGTATTTTACGATTATTGATAAAGTGTGAGTGCTGTTTAAAAAGATGATGTATGTACGAACTGAGGTCCACAGTAGTTTAGAGATAAGTCTTCCCATAGCGTTCCTCGTGTACAGTTTTATCAATGGAACAGAAATTAACGCCTGAGTTCGTAAAATTGAGCTTAACATCTATGCAGCAAATACAATAATACTGATCACTGAGTAGTTTCTTTCCGTCCATAAATGAAAAAATAAAACCCCAGCATTACAAAAGTCACAATATATACCTTTTTTTGTTTTACTTTCTTATTTTTTTAAACATAAATTTATATATTTCTCCTTTCTAATTTCAAATGGTAAATAAAATCCGTGAAAATATAAAATTAGATAAACCAATTTCTTCTTATGTATTTCAAAAATCTGCATTTTTCCGAATTCTGAAACTCTCTCCACGCTGTTTTAAGAAACGATACAGTTAACGCTGCACTCAGATTCAATTTACATAAAACAGAAAATCCACGGAGTTAATTATTAATGCCTTAGACACAAATATCCTCGAGTTTCACGGTGTTTTGTCGAAGATTGAAAGCTCCAAGTTCAACCACGGAGATTATAAATTAAGGGCCGTACTCACAAATAGTATCAAAAATAAAAATCTTAATTCTCATTAACAATTTTGAATTTTTTTCCTCTCTCCTTTTTTTCTTTTATGCTTTATTTTATATCTGTGTATAGTAGAATTCTTTATAACGACGCTGCATTTAAACCGTAGCCTACACCAAATTATAGCATATAAATCTGGTAGAATTGTTTACAGCACATAAACAACCATAAGTTATTTCTTTCTCTTTCACATATGACGTTTGTCTCAGTCAGTACGAACTCGTTCAAAATACCTCCTTCTATCTTACTTCTGCGTGTGCGCGCGAGAAAGCGTGGTGTGCGCGTGCGGGTGTTCAAACTGTTTAGTTGAATATTATAGAAACCCTTATCGAGATTAATTTCTGACAAGTGAATGCATTAATGTCACACTGAGTATCTCTCATTTTCCTCAACGGTACTTTTTTCCGTCACTTTAATTACCGAACGAGCAAAACAAGTTTGCGGCACGACAACTAAAAAGATATGAAGTAGGGAAACGATTCGGATCACGAGAAATGTTCTCAAATAACTATGCGGCGTCCTGCAAGCAAATGTGCATTTCTTTGTTTAAGGCTACATCTTGAAAAATGTTGTGAATGAAAAAAATTGAAAGTGGCTTCTTCGATAACAGTCTTGGGGCTATACGGCGGCCTAGGTGTTTCAACAGATACCTCACTTTTACGCAAGTCGCATGTCCCCGTTGCTTTAGAGTTTCTAGTGAGAGCCTCTAGTGTGGCATGAAAAAGAAAGTCGGTGACAGATATACAAATACTTCAAGAGTCTATATCGAGCAGAGAAGCCACTCCGAACAAAATTCTTTGTTGTTCTATTTCAGTCAGGGCTGTAAATATTTTTTGCTTTTCGAAACAAATTTCCACGCGGGTTGCGTAAATATTGCTAGCAAACTGGTCAAATGCAATTTTGCTTTAATATGAACAACACTTTTTGCATTGAGCCGAAATATTCAGATATTCGTTTTAAACCAATTTCTTTGATCCAGGCCGTTTTCAGCTATCATTATCAAATATATCCAGTCGATACTAAAAAAAATGCGTTCGCCAAATCTCAGGATGTCTCCGTTCTATTAGGAATAATAATTTGTCATGGATACTCGTGTATATTCTATTAAAACATCCGTTTCGCAGGAATATGAAATTTATTATCAAATGTTTTTGTTTTTTGCCTCCGTGCTGAAGTATGATGTGTAAGAACAGATTTAATTCCAAAATGAAACGGGAATCTTCAAAGAGGACAAAATTGTGGAGAAAAACCATAGTCTCTTTTAATGGAAATTATGTGGCGGTTTTTATTAATCGATCTCATTCAATCAAAGTTTCTTTTGCCGCATATCCCGTTTTTAGTAACCCTTATAAAAATCAGGGGATATTTGTTTCTTCATTTACTTCAGGAGTTATTCAACTTTGTGGTATGATTGACATAATGCTAACCGATATTCTGTGAAAAGCGAGAAAAAAAATCGTGTCAGTAACGTTGTTTATTAAGTGGGCCGATATGAATGCAACGTACTTCACATGTTGGGAGTTCGACAGGGAAAACATAAATATTGACGATACATAAAATTAGATACAGATTACGAGTTTGCCAACAGAACTTTGATTGAATCTATATTGAAAGTGCTTGCTTTATTTCAACAAGGAAAATGAAATAGAGAAAGCTTGTAGATAAAAGAAGAAAAACAGAGAAAGGGATTTTTTATAATTCGCTTTTTTCTCTTTTTTGGGCATTCTTCTGAATAATATGAGTACAGCGAAATAATAGAGCGCACACCGTTCGTTGTCATAAGACTATGGTATGACTGCAAATTTAGGCGTATTATTACCCTCATTATAACAGGATTATATTCATACCTTATAGTTGTTTGGGAATAAAATGCTTCCTCGAGCAAGGCTATTTTTCATGCCACTTCTCTGCTCTACTTTTCCAAACTTCATTGATCTCCCAGTAGAAGCTTTGTCTAAGTGCAAGCCTTCACGAGCAGACTACAAAATATCCTTTTCTGGATGCGAATTACAGATACGTCCATTTTTCGGCAGTCGAGCCCTCGTAATTAAAGATTGAATTAAAAATCAAATTTCCATTTCACCTAGCTTGCATACAGATAGGGCAGTGGCGCCGGGGCCCTACACGGGCCAATAGGTTGGGAACGAACCGACGTGAAACTATTTCAGCGCATGCAACTAACGGGAACTTTGCAGTGCTGTGACATTTACTTTCTTTGTTTATTTTTTTTTCCAATCTTTATTGTTCAGAAATAGAATTGTATTGGTGTGGAATATTACTTATAAATTGAAAAACATCCCCCCGTTTTCCTGCTTTCACTTTAAAACAATCAAGTTAATATTACTTAAATTGTTTGCAATTAGCAATTAGCGCCGCCCTTATCCGTGTTCAGCGCTTGTGAGAAGACGTGAAAAGATAAATAATATTTTGTGTAAATATGCATGCTAAGGAGTAACTTAAAGCGAGATCTGAAATCTTATCCGGGATCATCAGATTTTTTTTCAAGATTAAAAATCTTAAGTTTATGTACATCGTAGAGTGGTCTCAGCAAGTGGAGTTTAGCGTGCGTCAGCCACTCTGATGCTTATCCAGTACATTAACGGTTCAAAATAAACCACTCGCACGTGCTGTCGCAGGCAGCAAGTTAGATGAGCCATGACAATGCAAGATATAAAAGTAGCCGCTCTGTTTCATGAAAAGTTGAATTCAAATTTACCTTTGTTGACCTTCATTGAGTTGCGTGCCTACGCCGCATCAGGGTTCGTCGGAACCCTTGTGTGCCAAATCACTGGGACATTTTTCTAACTCATTACAGTTTGAGTTATCGTAATTTGCTTTATGCATATTTGCCGCGATAGAGGTGCACGGCGGCTTGCACACCTGTAAAAACCTGCACCACGGATCTTCCACATACAGCGATGTGTCGAAATTTCCTTAGGATTCCTCCCTTATACCGACATGCTTAAACAAACGTTCTAATAGAATTCACACGAGAAAAAATATTTGCGTACAACAAAAATTTCCTTTAAATCCCGAGAAAACTCCTGCCATAGTCACAGTGACTTTCGCCAGTTTTATTTCTTCCCAACGGTCAAATTTTAAGGAAAGAGTTGAATTCAGCGGCAAAGTGTGTTTTAAGCTTGGATTGGTTGTTTACAGCAGTTTGTCATGTAATCCGATTAGGCAGACAATATGATGAATGACCTGTAGGCGGGGTTAGAGGCAGGACACGCTACGCTCTTCAGCTGTTACCCTAAAGACGACGCTACACACTCTCTCCACTCATCTTTGTCTGTCGCCATATGGCGCATTCACTATTATATTTTTTCACAGTGTTTACGTGTTTGTCTTCATTTTGCCTCCCATCTCTCTCGAACTGAGGCTTATTTTGCAAGTAATTTACGATAGTTGCGACTCGAGAATTTACGATTTATTACCATGAAGAGCACTGGTGTTATCGTTCACCATTCATCTTTTCGCCTCTTCATCGTAGTGTAAAACTCACAAATGCGAAGTGACGTTTGGTCCTTTCGTTCGTGAATTTCCCGAGAAATTCGACGATACATTTTACCGATGTGGAGGTAAACCCACTTTCGCGCAAAAATAAACTTTTCTTTAGATTCAAACTGAAACCCCTTACAGATTTTCTCACAGCTTCAACCCTCCAGGCAATTGACTTCAATGACAGCTCATTTGTTACTCGTCACTATGGCAACGGCGGATGATTGACAGCCTCGCTGGAAGAGGCCACGAGCATCGACAGTTTAGTTGTTAAACTCGGATAGTGTTGACTTCAGACCAAATGGAGGGATATGCTGTTTGACATGAAGTGAATGAAGTGACAAGAAGGGATTGGGAATTTGTTACTCGGGCAAGTGAACATCGCAGGTGAAGCAAGCTTACGCAATTTGGACAGGAACGGCTTAAATCATTACGATCGAGCCGACAAACTATATGTATGGAGCACAGGGTGAGTTGTACACTGAAATTTACGACCCAATCGGAAGCTGATATTAATGCTATTTATGCGAAAATAAAAAATAAGCATCAGTTTGTATCAGTGCTCATTTGCCATGTTCTTTCAGTACGATAATGAGTCTTTGCACTACGGGAGCGTGGATGGACATAGAGCGGCTACAATGTATGAGAGCCACCATACGATGCAGCCCTTGTCTCACCTCCCCCACACGTCTCCTAACTCCAGTATCAGTCACGGCTCCTCCATCCACCAATATCCACCATACTCTACGGCCGGGAGCGTCCCCGGTGTTATGAATACAACACAGGACTCGCAACTCAAGAGGGATAAGGATGCTATATACTCGTAAGTAGGTCACTAACAACGTTTAGCTTATTAACTCCAATATTATGGTCACCCGTAAGTAAAGGCTTGGCGGTGCGTTCTGTACATGTCGGCCGCTAGTAGGCTTTAAGCAGCACGCGGCGAGGTAGTCAGCCACAGCTAGGTTTTAAATTTGCCTCCGATTTCTGTCTTCAGGCCCACTAGTCATTTCAAAACATTTCTGTGGAAATAGAAAGTGACACACGAGCAATCGACCTGTCCATGTGTGTTTTATTGCATTGTCAATATCGGGGAGACATGCTTTAAAATCATAATGTCTAGGAAAACGCAGAGGCGCCGGCGTACACGCAAACAAAAACAGAGTGCTATTTCTCTCTCTTCTTCTTTAATATTTCGTTTAACATGCTTAGTCTGTCAGAGGGAATTCCTCCAAACACCAAAATGGCTGCCGACGCCGTCGAATATTTTTAAGGGCGAATATTCCTTCCTGTCATGTTCTATTTTTCAGTCATCCGCTGTTTCCCCTGTTAGCGTTGATATTTGAGAAATGCGAGCTCGCTACGTGTACGCCCCGGGAGGCAGGGATCGCGGGGGACGTGTGCTCCTCCGAATCATTTAACGAAGATATAGCAGTGTTTAGTAAACAGGTAAAAATAATGTATCTTCTCGTATTTTATAACATTTAATCAGGGTAGATATTTTTGTCTCTGACTTGTATTTTAAGTGGTTGTCTCAAATAGTCTTTATTAAGATTTTTTTTGTCATTTGTGAATTTATGAATTTTAATAATCACTGTATGGTGAGATTAGTATGAATAAAATTTGAAGTCTACCAAAAATTTTATACAAATATTTTATGAATATCTGTAAGGCTTGTAACTCACACAGTATTTAAGTAGTGCAATTTTAAGCCATAAGGTTTTAGTACTTAGCAGTGCTTGTTCACCAAAGTTGTTACATTTATCCTATTCCCTGGAGCAAGGAAAAACTAGTGTACTTTATGCGGTATGATATTTGCCTCTGTTTACCTGGTTCTAGTCTGTAAGCAGAAGTCATTGAATTCTTAGGTTGTTCAATTTGCTTGTTTTTTCACCCCTGATTAGCTGGGCACACTGTCGTAAGTTACACATCGGCTTTCTTGATGACCCTGGATAAACAGATTAAGGGGAAGGCTTAGCCCCTCGCTTTTGCTTTTAATTTTGTGAACTATCGGGTTTACATTCTTTGACCAAGGTCATTATTACTGTTATGTTTGTCATAAGACCACAACAATAAAAGATCAGAAGTCGGATACAATGGTCAAGTATTGTATTTGAGCAAAAGAATTCTTGTAACTGCTTTGAATTATACAACAGCTCTACCGTCTTGACTCCAGACCCCCTTCCCATGTTTGGTTCACTTTGTGCCCTTCTTGTCTGTATTTTCTCATTGACCGAAAAGTTCTACTGTAACAGAATACAACAGAGGTAATAGTCTGCGTCTAGATGTGCATTTGTAGTCATTGATGGTGAACAATCTGTTTTTCTACCCTTTTAGGCAAGAGCAGAGAAGCCTTTCTTTTCAGCTAACCACGAATTGGATAGTTTGGTATGTAAAACTTTTATCTCTATATTTTCTTACACAAGTGTAGAACCTGTTTATAGTCATGTTAAAGAGTACATAGCAGTATTTTATGCACTAGTAATTACTTAAATTCAGCAAAGTTGGACTGGGAGATTTGATTTTTTTCAGTAATTTTTTATAGTATATCTATAATGGCAAGCTAAAAATTAAAGATAGAAAAAATGTTTAAAAAAGTTTATTTTCTTAATACAAACATGAAAGTCATTGAACAATTTTAAGTTGAAAAAAAAAAACACTAGGGAAAGATTTTTGAATGTTTTATGGGAAAAAAGAAAATAATTCAATAGATTGTGCAATACCAGCAAATGGGAATTAAAACTACTTGATACAATGTATAATCACAACGGTGGCTGTCAGAAGTGATACATATTATTAGTTTGTAGGAAAGCATAAGCCCCACATAATTTAATTAATATTAATTCATTGGAGCACTTCCCTAGTTTCACTTCATGTTGACAGAATATGTATGAATCAGGTTATCATAATTGTACTTAGTGAATCTTCAATACAAATGCCTGAATGGAATTAGGGCCTCTCAAGTAGTTTGCAATTTTTTTTCATGGTGGATGGCACTGTAGAATTAAGTTGTAAATATTTCCCATAATGAAGTAGCATTGACTGAGGACTCTTCATGTCCATTTGGATTTTAAAGCTAAGAAAATTCATGGATTTATTGATACTGGAAAACCCACTCTAAAAATCAAAGGCATAAATTCAGTACATGGCGTTATTTTTTATTGTCCGTCGCAGCTTAGTTGAGGACAGTGTTAAAGTGTTAGCTTAAGTTAACTTCGGTTTAAAAAGGCTCATTCAGCTCTATTGTTAAAGGCGGTGAGGTGAGACCTCTAGTGCCCCTTGTCATTTGACGATAGAAGAAAGCCCATTTTCTGTTGACAAGAAGAAGTAGCAAATTTTAATAACAAAGCTCCCTATTTACCTTTCAAAAGACTTCAGAATGTTATCCCTTCTAGTTTTTTTTTAAATGTTAAATATGTTATTCCTTTCTATTTGAGTTTATTGAAAAATATATATAAGTGAAAAGAAAAAGAATATATATAACTGTGTTATTCAGTTTATTTATTTTAATTAATTATTTTGTTTGTTTTACTCATTGTAGATGATTCAAGCAATACAAGTGCTTCGGTTTCATCTTTTAGAATTGGAGAAGGTGAGTAAAGTCTACAGCAATTATTTTGATTGTTTTAATTGCACTCAACAAGCCAAAAATAATTAACTAGGCCTCATTGTTGTCTGGTGCCTCCTCTCTTTTGGAAAATTATCACCCCGTGGCCCTAGAATTATGCTGATCACTATCAACCTCAGACACCAATGTGTTTACTTTAGGAATTAAAATTTAAAAGTCAGACTGGTAAGGTAGAACTGAATTTAGCTGTGCACTATTTACCCATGTTCCACATAACTGCAGACTGAAGCCGTTACCCTGGGTTGCCCTGAAGTTTGACATCCCTTTAAACTGTTTGTTTAGTCCCTTCCTTAAAAAATGCACAGCCTACATGAGACTAAATGTAAATGCTCCAGAGAATTAGAAGTTTGCTTTTGGGATTGAAAAACTGGTCTGGTTATTACATGCACAGGCTAATGAACTAGAGCCTTGATAACCAGATGGCCTGAAAAAATTGCCAGCAGTGCTTGCATTAAAAATCAACGTAACTTAATTGTGGCCCATTTAAATGGGCATATTCCTCTAATAATATTAGTATGGAAATTTGCTTATAATATGCATACTCCAGATAGCGGGAGAAGTGATAATGTGAACAGCAGCTCTCGCCATGCTCGCAATTTTTCTATGCTGCCTTGGGGCGGCACTGGTAGGCTGATCAAGGCTAGAGTAGTACAACAAGCTTATTTCCTGAAATGATAGGTGATAATGAAACAGCAACTGTCTTTTCTAGCCAAAGCCTAGGCTTATTTCATTCAAACATAACTCCCTAATGAGAGATTCAGGAGATTTCCTGTTCGTTGCGGCTATATAGTTCTCAATGTCAGTTTTAGCTATCAGCAGGAAAATACAAAATTACCTCCCCCTTTTGTTGTTCTCATCAATTGGAGAATAATCACCTCTGGAAACCATATTCTTTTCAGTGGACATGGAGCAGAACGTTTAAAATGCTAGTTTTGAGAATTGATAATAACACTCGGGGCACCATATAGCTCTCACCTTTTACCATCGACTACAAAAAGAAGTCACTATAATGGTAGCTGCCAAATTTCCCTAAGAATTGGCCACAGGATTGGGTGGGGGATGCTGTGATTTATTGCAGATATATGTTGAAAATAGAACATGATTGTCAGCTTAAATTAGATTTTATCTGTATCTAGCTTTATAAATTTTTTAATTGAGATTGATTCCCAAAACATTTCTTGTATTAAAAATTAAGCTTTACATGAAATAAACTTTTAGCCACGCTTTTGCTAAATCTCCCAATTTTCTTTATCTTTTCAGGTTCATGAACTATGTGATAATTTCTGTCACCGTTACATCAGTTGTTTAAAGGGGAAAATGCCAATAGACTTGGTAATTGATGAACGGGACACAGCTAGTACCACATCTAAACCCAGTAGTACAAGCACACCCGAACCTCACATGACTGAGCACACGCCTGAAGTGGTAAGTACACAGGAATATGGTTCAAAAATAAATAATGTTACAAAATGAGATACTGAAATGAAATCGTATTAGAGATAAGTGTTGGACTAAAAGAAACTATTATATTTGCAATAAAATAGAGTAAGTATTTTAGGTGGGGTATTTAATTTTTTCAAGTTTTGAAAAAACTCAGAATGACATATAATAAGTATAAAATATGTCAAATATATGAAATATAGGTAAAATATGAAGATTTCTTGGTTTTGGAAGGTTCTGAAAAGCTACATGTAAAAGTTTATGGGTTTTCCTTAAATTGATACTCCATGTAGTGTGGATTTTAAAATTCAATAACTTCTAGATAAAAAATAAACAAATGATTAGAATAAGATAAGGAACTAGTAAAAAAAATAAATAATCAATTTTTTTATTTTGACATAATAAACATATTAGGGTAATATTTTTAGCACTAATTTTCAAAATTATAGTCGCAGTCTTTGTTTTATCTCCTTGTGCGTCTCACGTTGTTTTCTCTCCACTTGGCTTGAAGTCATGCCCTACGCTTGTATTCCTATAGTAAGAGATATAATTTATTACCTTAAGCAGAGCATCATGTGGGCACGAAGTCACATGAGTGTGGCAAAATACTGCTTCTATATGGAAAACAATTTTGTTCATGTCAACTTGTAGTAAAAGCACGTATCCAACCCCCAACTCCGTCCGTGGCCTGGCTATATAACCTGAGTATTGGCAAGTTTATCTGGGTCTCATCCTGCTGTATTTGCAGATTGTTAACCAGATTTAGTCTAGATGCACTTGTAGTTTATTGGGATACATACAGCGAGACTTTGTATGACGTGTGAAGTAAGCAGATAATCTTCATTGAGTTTTAATTAAGCAGAAACTGAGCAGTATTTGCCAGTCAATTGTGAAGTGTTAGAGAGTGGAGCAAAATTATACCCTTTCACACACAAACAAAACAGGACGAAAGGAGTGTTATAGTAGTCATTCCAAGAGAGCCTCTCATTAGTCATGAGTATTGTATTAATCTTTTCACCCTCTGGATAACAAAAAATCACTCCCACATCCACCACACATTCTTTATTAGCATTGAGTGTAGGAAGTAGTAGAAAACAGTCGGCGAGTTTCATTATAGTGATTAGTGCTGTATTAATCTTAGCACCCTCAGGATAGAGTTAGATTTGTCCAGTGAATGCCAGATCAATAGCAGCATAAGTTCAGGCAATTCTATGTCATTATACAATCACTTGAAGATTGTTCATTAATTGTATGAGAGACAATTCAGGGTCATATTATGGTGGCCCCTGCTGGCGAGGAACGGCTCCTTTGTGCTTGTCAACGTCAAAGAAAAACTATGACAGTTTCTAGGGGTGCCTATATATCAAAATAACACAATACTGAATCAAACAGCTACATGTGAGAAAGACAAGGTTTATGACTGCAGCTAACTTACAATTAGCCATACTTTGGTGATGGAAATTTTGGCAGCAGAATACCTTGTGACTTAAGTTGTGGCTGGGTTAATTTATTTTGAAAAGGTTATCAAAAATGCAGCTGATTGGTAGGCAAGCTCCCCCCCAGTCTAGATAGGTCAAACACGGGAGACGGTTATCTCCCTCTGAGAGAAAAGGCCCACTTTGGCTGTAAACAAAGAACTTTGAATTTCGGGTCTGCTGACTGCTATAATGACTCTCTTTTGTGCGTACATTTTCTAAAGGTCCTATGAGCCCTGGCCCGCGAATTAGACCTACTTATCAAGATTTCCTAAATTCAATGAATAACACTGATGGACTTAGCATTGTGTAGGAATGGGTCGCCTGAGTCGATTCAGTCTTTTGGTGCGTTCCAAAAATGTTCAGGTTGCTGCCCAATACTAACCATCCACATTTTTATCTCTGCTAGCATTCACTCGATTAGCAATTACTGCTAAGGCATTATATAAAAGACATCTTAGAGTATGAAAGACAAACAGAAACCTGTGCCAATAGCTGCCTTAACAACAACATAGCAAGCTTGTGGTTTTTAATAAGAGGGCTCGGCATTAAAGTGATGTGAAGGGGTACAGAGTGATCATAAAGTGATTCTATTAATGATGATGTCCATTATCTGTTTTGAATTTTACCTCCTCTCTGTTTGTAAACTCAGGTACAGTCAGGATGACATGAGTCATATATTCCAATGGGTTTTGTGTGTTAGCCCAGGCTGTGTGCAAAGTCATAGAAATGCACCCAAATGACTGTCATCTAATTTTAATCATAAAACACATTGTCAGTGGAGGATGAATACGGAATGCGCTTAGGCTGAACTGGGCTTTTGTAAGGCTTTAACCTTGTTTTAGATTCCACACATTTTGTTTCCGTTAAATCTATTCATTAGATGATCAGAGGAAAATTTGGTCATGTATGCATGTGATGGAGTTTTTGATTTAGGGAGATAAATCAGAGATTGTTTTCATCTTTGTCTATGCTGAAATTCTATTTGAAAGTTACCCTGGTCAGTTTTTCCATGTTTGAAAATTGTGAATGAATAATTAATCATGAGAGATCCACATGACAATGTTCTCTGCTGTAAAAGCATGGTCATTATTGAAATGTATAACAAAAGACAGTCAAGATGGAAGTGTATTTAGAATTAGATTTGTTTTCCCTATGCAATCAAATGTAGATTTTTAAAGGTGTTGGTAAAACCACGAGCTAAGCTGATATATTCACGTCTTTGTCACACATATAGACAATTCTGACAGTCGAGCCTGGCTGTTAATTTGTCGGACCACATAACAAGCACCATAAATCAATCTGAGAAGAGGAGCAGTATCGGACATTATAAATGTCTAAGGCATTGACAGTTTTAACAAATAAACATAATTGTCTGACTGGCAAAATCACAATTTATCACTCTAGTGCAGCAGTCAGACATGACACAGGGCCATATTTATGCAGCAGTCGGACAAGTGCTGTTCGCTGTACCCCAAAGGATAAATTACGGTGTTTTAGCAGCCTGTTAGACCCTTTTAACCTCACATTGTATACAATCACAAAACATGTGCCTCTGCCATGTTGGTCTTTGGCCGGGATTTGATTAGATTGGAAGTTCAGAATTTGTTACAAAATTGGGAGGGATCTGTTTATAATGGAAGATTCCCAAAAGTGGGGTCTGCACTTCATGATTATAGGAACAAGTTGAGTCGGCTGGCTGGCGAGGAAGCAGGCAGGCAGACTCAGTGTTGTAGCGTCTGTTTGCGTTGAACAGTTACATTGTTGTTTCCATTGTAGTTCTAAGGCCAAAAGACTATGGATTTTTCACCACTGAGAGAAACTCATTTTAAGCTGGTCTGTGAATTATTTCTGACGGCCTCTCTTGATACTTGTTATTTCAGATTATAGTGAAGCCGTATAGCTTATCGGGATGTTCTTTAGGGAGAAGGCATTTTGCTTGGTATGAATGTCCATTAGAAAGTCAGAAGGGAAAACTTTCTTCACATCAGGAGGAGAAATCTTTTGCTTCACTGTCTAATAGCTATTGAATATGAGGTAAACTGTGGTTAGTATCACACAGTCCTGGCCAGAGACTAGAATTACTTTCCAAGTGAGACAAACAGCATGGGATAAATAATAACTTGTTAACCATGTGGTAAGATTAAAAAATACACCTAAGATGCAAGGATTTATTTTATTTTATTTTGGTCCATGATTCTTTATTGGGTCTCAACTCTGGGTTAAAAATCATCAACACTCTTGTTTTCTTATTCCTGTCCAAATTATTGAAAAATTTTCTAGGTGAAACATTCAGAATGTTATTTTATTATTGGCTCACTGACACAAATTTCGATACCAGATAAAAACAGAGAAACCTGCATTTCTCTGGTATAATAATCAGATTAGAAGGCAAGGTTCAAGAATTAATGTTTCTTCTCAGTGAGCTTTTCTCCACTTCTTTAATCTACATTATGAAAAAATCCAATAAAAAGAGAGCCACATTGAGTCACCGTACCCCCAGACTCCACCAGCCCAGGTATAACTGTCTGTAGTGAACACACTTGGGCCCAGTGTTTGTGTGCTGTGTTCCCAAGTTCTGGACTAAGCCTGCACCAAGTGTAACAAAAGATATAAGTAGTCATAATCTTAGAATTAACAAAGATCATTGGCATCCCCAAAGTCCCAGGGATGATGTTGTTGTCTTTCTGGTATTATTTCAGGGACTAATTTGGGGTGTTTTGATACAGTTGGGGGACATGGACAAGATGATTATCATCTGCTGTGGACCATAAGACTGTAGTAAATTATATTAGATTAGGTGTTTTTTGTGTTGGAATTGAGATAAAGAAATCTGAATTTGGTAGGATGAGTAGTAGGATGACGGATGTATTAATGAATTTTGTGGTTTTAAAAATGATTATAAAAATCTGACTCCATTACAATGTGTTGCTTGCGCAGTATTTTTTTCTGGTGACTTAATGCTCTAGGAAAAGAATTATAGAAGGAACTTGTTCTCTTTGCAGTGTTTTTTTTTTCTGGAGACTGTATGCCATGTTTTCTTTTCTTTCCCTTCCGTCTGTCTGACCTACATTGTAGGAGAAGCTGTGGCTGTGCTATAGATAGAAATCAACAGGGAGAAGGGGTAGTCTGATATTGAGGTATTGCACCTCTACTACAAAGAAATATGTGATAATTTGGTGCCATAAGTCAATTTGGATCTATTTCAATTGTATTAAATGTTTAGGTCTTGTGTTTTACTATAAGGCATCAAAGGAGGCTATCAAAGATCAGCAGATTATATTGTGGCTATCAAGCCAGTGTTTGTGTACAATGACTGTAATTCTATTTACTTGTCTAAATGATATGGATGCCAATAGAACGCTTAATGTGGTAAGCTGCAACTATTCCTTGAATTTCCTCAATATTTATTTAACAAATTGCAACCCTAACAAAAACGGCTAATACTATTCATAGCTGTCTGTGTGCCTCAGATTAACACAAAGAACATTACGGTCTCTGCGGACCCAC